GCAGGAGCCAAAAATCCATTTTTCCAGGTGCAAAAGGAGCACAGTGCCAGCAGCGGGATTCGCTGCTGGGTCATCGGGCTGAGCCATGCCTGGGGTTAATTGATCATGAGTGAGAGGTTAATTGTGACACCCATGACCTGACCAAGGGCTGTGGCAGAGGCGTTTTGTGCTGCCTGGGGACATTTGGGATAACAGCTCTCCTGAACCAGAGGCCTGGGGGGCTCTGGGTTTGTCCCTTTCTGTGGGTTTAGGGTTTTTTTCTCTTTTTTTTTTGGCCGTGTCGCAGCACAGCAGTGAGCCCGAGGAGGTGCTCGGTGCCAGGGATGGAGGGAGAGGAGGAGGGTGTTGGATTTCTGCGCATATTCTGTGTTAAATACTTTAAAAGGTCAATTGAGGCAGGATACTGTGGATGTGGTCAGAGCCAACAGGGCAGGTGGAACGGGGCCTTTCTCCCAACCCTTAAAATGAAAATTGGGAAAGCTCTGGGTGATCACCAGCTCCTGTGTGAAGCAGGGGCTGTTGGATGGAGTGCTCCCCATAACCACAGGGCTGCTCCTGGTTGCAAATTTCCCTGCAGCAGCGTGGAGCTGCAGGAAAGGGGCAATGCAAGGGTGGTCGTGGCAGGATGTGTCTCCTAAAGCTGCACTCCCCAAAGCAGGAGCCAGAACACGCCGGTGTGGGGCTGGGGTGAGCTCTGTGTTGTGCTTGGGGAGGTTTCAAAGCTGTGACTCCCCCAAATAATCCCTCTCACCCCCCCTCCCACCCCAAATAATCCCTGGGGTCTCCCTCAGGGCAGGGGCTGGGGTTGGACCCCCACGTTCCAGCCCAGCCCCACTTTGCAAAGGCAGCCCTGGAGTCCTGCCCTGCCCCGGGCTTTTGGGGAGTGAGGGGAACAGAACGACAGGGCAGTCAGGAGAAGTTGTTAAAACAAGATGGACATACCTCTTTATTGCAAATTCCAAAGTAAAAAGATGTACAGTACAAAGGAACTCAAAAGTTCAGCCATGGAACTCCCAGCCCGTCCCTCCATCGCCTTCCTCCGCCCTCCCCCAGCTGCATCCTCCTCCTCTCCCCAGGTAAAACAGAACAGAGAGGAAAACCAGGGCTGGAGGGGAGCACGGGGCCAGCACCAGCGGCCTGAGGGCAGAGGTGGCCCTGCCCCACAGCGGGCAGAGGGTGTGGGACTGTCCCAGCAGCATTTTGGTCACCGCTGAGCGCCCCGCGGTGCCTGCCCACAGCTCTGGGACCCTCGGTGCAGCACGCTCGGTCACTCACGAAGCCTCACAACACCCCTGTGAGGTAGGGAACGAGCCACCACAGCCACAGGTGGGGAGAAGTGGGAATCCTCCATCCCTGCGCCCAGTTCAACCAGTGCTACCAGTGCGTGTGTGACACGGGGAGGTGCAGGACGGCACAAGCACGCTCTGCCTTTGCTTGGACTGGCCTCAACTGAGCAGCAAAATTCCCATCTGTCAGATAAACTGGACCCAAACTCATCACGTTTCCTGTGAAAAATAATCCCAAAGTGACCAAAGCTCAAAACCCAAAAGCAATTCCAGGGTGGTGCCTCGGGCATTCGGCTCCGGGTTAAACCTGCCTCTGGTGGGGGTCGTGCCCAGCTCAGCCCCTCTGCTCAGGAGTTGGGGGGTGGGCGGTGCTGGGGTGCAGGTGAGGGTCACCTGAGGCCACCCCCAGCCCCAGTCCAGGGCCCTTTAGCACCACTGAGCAGCAGGAGTCCCCAGCTGAGCCAGTCCTGTCGCTGCAGGGGATCCCCTTTAGGGTTTGGGGGGAAGCCCAGGGCAGGGTGGGAGTCAGGTGAGGGAGAACTGGGGGAACTGGGAGCACTGGGGGGGCAGCAGGAGCCCCCAGAGCAGCCCTGCAGAGCTGCTGCCCCACAACCCCCTGGGGAGGAGGGGACGGGGGGGCTTTGGGGCCTCTCTTGGGGCTTTTTAGGGGAAGAGAGGGGGGCTGCAGGTGAGGGGAGAGGGGGTTACAGGTGAGGGGAGAGGGGGTTACAGGTGAGGGGTTAAATGTGAGGGGTTAAATGTGAGGGTTAAATGTGAGGGTTAAATGTGAGGGCTTACAAGATATGGGGTTACAGGTGAGGGGTTAAATGTGAGGGTTAAATGTGAAGGGTTACAGGTGAGGGGTTACAGGATACAGGGTTGCAGGTGAAGGGATAGAGGGCGAGGGGTTCAGGTGAGCAGTTCCAGGGTGAGCCATCACAGAACAACATCCTCTCCTGCCAGAGCAGGTCCAGCACGGAGCATCCTCACCTGCCTGGGACCCCCATCCTCACCTGCCTGGGACCCCCATCCTCACCTGCCTGGGACCCCCGTCCTCACCTGCCTGGGACCCCCGTCCTCACCTGCCTGGGGTCCTCACCTGCCTGGGGTCCTCACCTGCCTGGGACCCCCATCCTCACCTGCCTGGGCCCTCACCTGCCTCAAAGGGAGCCCCGAGCAGGCACTGACCCCACAGCCCCCGCAGGGCTGAGCCACCTGACACCTTCAACACCAAAACCCTTCCAACAGCTCCTCACTGCTCCCCAAAACCACCCTAAAACGCCCTGGGGAGAGCCCAGAGTGGCAGGAAAAGGGGAGGAGGAGGGAGAATAACTGGGACACCAAGACAACCTTCCCTTGTACAGTGAAAAGGGAATTTATTTCATTTATTTCAGTTTATTTCATTTTCTTTTGGCTTATAGTAATTGTTAATCATGTTGGGTAAGACCGGTATGAGCCACCATGCAATTTCTAATACACTAATCTTCACTATTGAGCTTTTACAGCTTGAACAGGTTGTTGGTTTGTTGGTTTTCTTTTTAAATTTTATTTCATTTTTGCAGCAGAAAAATCATTCAGACTCAGGTGTGGCCTCTACGGAACACCATGGGGTTACCTGAATATTTTTTTTTCAACATTGGCTTCTATATTTTCAGAAAAGGTGAAGAGGAAAGTGAATAAAGCAGCTTGGACTGGCATTTCATTAACGCCCTCCCCTCCACACTTTTGGAGTCACAAATTAACCCAAAAGGGAGGATTTTAGAGGTGGGGGAGGGAAGGGAACTCCTTGGCGTGGTTGTGAGTTTTGGCTATACCTCCCTAACGGCACCACCCCCCTTAATTTGCTCCCAAAGCCCTGAACCCAGAAGGGGAATTCTGTGAATAACACGTGAAAATTTGGAGATTTGGGTGGGACAAATCCCTGAGGCTCTTTGCCCAAAACTTCCTCCAACCTTAGCTTCACCCAGTGAAGACCCAACTCAAACATCTGCCCTGGGGAGGAAACCAAAGGAGAAAAACATCCCCAAACACCCCAAACTCCTTTTTTTTTGAGCAGAAGAACCAACTCCAGCCAACAGGAAGCTGCAGAACCTCCTCCCTCCCCTTCCTGTTGCGTCTCACGCTGACAAAGCATTAAAAAAAAATAGTATATATACAGAGTTTGGAGGGACTTTTTTATTTTAAAGTCATTGAGCAGCTTCATGAGTTGCCAGCACAAACGCCAACGCACCGAGCGTCACCTACAAGACTCAGCCCAGCCTAGGAACAATTATGAAATTCAGCCAAATCTTGCATAGAAGTGGTCGACTTATTGCACATTGGAACCCAAAAATAGACACTTTTGCTGCTGCAAATACCACTTGCAATAAAACTTTTGTCAAAATCTATTTTGAGGGGGTTAGGTTTTCGTTTGGAATTTTTTTGTGGTGGGTTTGTTTTTGGTTTTTGTTTTTTTTTTCCTTTGGGGGACATTTCCTGGCTATCTAAAATCTAAGGACAACAGAAAAATCTTAAAAAAATAAAAATAACCATGGACAATGGCATAAGCCAGAAGCCATTCTATAATTTTTGTAGTTCTTTGTATTTACAAAAAGGCATGCCAATAAAATAAAATGATATATTACAGTATTTATAATATTCTCTTAAAAAGTTCAACCACACTTTTCAGCTATTTTTTTCCTTTTTTTTTCTTCTTTTTTTTTTTTTGTGCTGTTTACAACGTAGCCTGTACATATGTATGTAGATTTTTTTGTTGTTGTTGTTCTCTCTTTGTTATTATTTTTGTTATTATACATCCCATCCTGGGACCAAGGGGGGCAGGACAGACGAGGTCCCTGCTGTGGGGCAGAGCTGCTCCCGTGCCGTGCCCGCCCCGAGGATGCCAAGGTGGCACAGATGGCTGCTGGATGGCTTCCTGCTTGGGTTTGGTTCATTTTAGGTGATTCCTGGCGTTCTCTGGGTTTGTGGGATTATGCAAACTGAGATTCATCCTCCCATCAAGCTCTGGTGTCTTGGGGTTTGGTTTTTCCTCCCCTGCTTTGGGTACCCTCGGTTTGGATGTCACCCTTGGCTTCCCCTCCCCGGTGCCACCACCCTGAAGGGACCCCCCCAACCTGAGCGGGGCTGGCCTGAGACTGGCTGGGGACACCCCAAGAGGCAGCTGGGGGTGAGGAGACACAAACCCAGCCTGGCGTGGCTCGTGGTGCTCCTGCTGCTGCAGTGAGAGCAGCCCCGGGGTCACCTGGGGCAGGGCTGGGAAATGGGGGGAGGCGAAGGCACCCGGCCCCTCCTGGGCTGCAGCCCCACAAACCCCTCCTGGCACCCCGTGGTCCAGCTCTGCACCCCTCAGAGCAGGAGCCACGATGGCCACGGGACAGCCCAGGGGGGGTCCCGACCCCAAAGGTGAGTCCCGACCCCAAAGGTGAGTCCTGACCCCAAAGGTGGGTCCTGACCCCAAAGGTGACTCCCGACCCCAAAGGTGAGTCCCAACCCCAAAGGTGAGTCCTGACCCCAAAGGTGAGTCCTGACCCCAAAAATGACTCCCGACCCCAAAGGTGACTCCCGACCCCAAAGGTGAGTCCTGACCCCAAAGGTGAGTCCTGACCCCAAAGGTGACTCCCGACCCCAAAGGTGACTCCCGACCCCACCCTCCACCCCAGGATTGCTGTGGGTGAGCTCCCCAAATTCCTACCAGCAGAGGTAACGTGCTGCTGCTTTTTTTTTTTTTTCTTTTTTAACATTTATCTCTACCAAAAGAAGTGTCCACGCTGCAGGATGGAGGCTGGAGGATAATTAATATTAATGCTAAATATTGCAGGATACAACTGACCTTGCTGGCTGGTTGAAGCCCTAGGTTTTGGATTTACAGTGACATGGATAACAAGCCATTCCCAGATTTATCCTCCCCCTTTTGGTGAGGTCCAGAGCAGCATTTTGGAATTTTGTTCTGTTTCAGTGTGCAAAAAAACCATGGCTGTATGGAAAAGAAAGTTGAAGTTGTTAAACAGACACACACAATTCATTCACCTGCTTGTTCTGTTGGGGTTTTTTGTGGTTTTAGAGTTACACTGAGGTTTTGTTGGGGTTTTTTTTGGTTGTTTTTTTTTTTTTTTTTCTTCTACTGGCAGGTTTATGGAAGATTCTCTGTGAGCTGGGAGTACTGGTGGCGGGCAGGAGCATCACTAAGGTTTCTCTCCAAAATACAGTGTGCGGTAGATACTCAGTGGAGTGCCTCAAATTTATGGCTTAACACACCTCTGTGGACAGGTGAGTGCGTGTCCCCTGGTTGTGGTTCCTCATGCATGGTCCCTGGTCATGCCATCATGCAAAAAATCTGCAAAAATCTGCAAAAAATTCGCTTCTAGGCGTTGACGAGCACTTTGTTTTTTGGGGGGGGATCAGCCCGAGCTGGCTCCAGGCTGCAGGTACCCGACCACCCCATCTCCCAAACCAAGTCAAGCCCATGTAGAAAGTAGAATGCAAATAATAAATCTCAAATAAACTATGGTAACTCAGTGGGCTTAATGGGTGCCTTGTTGCATTTTTTTCTTTTTTTTTTTTGTTCTGCTTGTTTTAACTCTTTTTTCAATTTTTTTCCTCTTTTTAAAAATTATTTTTATTTTGCTGCTTAACTAAATGCAAATCTAGTTTTGCATGAACAAACCCATTGACACTGTGACTTCTGGGTTTTCTTCTGAGAATAATCAACAAAATGGGAAAATAAAATCCATTTGGGGCTGCTTTGGAAAATACATGAATCCCAGCAGCGGGTTTTGTTTCTCTGTGTGTTTGTGTGTGTGTGGTTTATTTTGCTTGTTTGTCCTAAGTTGCATTGACTGATGTGGAACATGCAGTATCCACCTGCCCAAACAATAGAAAATCCTTTTTTTTTCCTTTTTTTTTTGTGTTTAAATGTTTGTTTACAGGGTCCTTTAAACAGGTGGTAGGTCACTGCTTTAGATGCAACGCTGTCACACAGTAAGCAGACTATGTTTGGTATAAGATCTTCAGGTAAGTGTCTCCACAGCTGTTCTGTATTGATATATTTCAGGAAGTTTGTAAACAATCTTTTTTTTTTTTTTTTTCCGCTTGCAAATTTTTTAATTCGTACAATTCTACTATTTTTTGTTTTTTGTTAATTTTTTTTTCCTCTCTCTCTGTGTGTGTGTGTGTGTGTGTGTGTGTGTGTCTCAAGACTTGGCCACCCTGGCGTCTTTTTGTCTCTTTGCCTTTTCTCTCCTGCCCTCCTCCGCCCGCTGCTGTTTCTCCTTCTCGGGTTTGGTGACGCTGTCGTAGGACGGCAGGGAGGCCGTGGATGGGGTGCCCTCCTTTTTCTCCCTGTTGGCTCCCCCGTTTTCCAGTTTGGTGGCGGCAGGCCTTCGGCTGATGAAGCCCCGTCGTGCCAAACGAGCCCTGTAAGCCCTCTGGATCACCACGGCCGACACCTCCTCCTGCTTGCGCCGCAGCGTGGTGGTGATGGGCTCATAAGACACTTTGGAAGGGTTGGAAGCCACAAACCTCTCCTCCATCTGCTGTCTCAGGATATCCAGCTCCCCGCTGTCCCCCAGCACACGTTTGGTGAAGGCAAACAGGATGTCCAAGCAGTGGATCCTGTCCCCACTTACCATAGGCAGGTCCATGGCGATGAGTTCGATGGTGTTGGGCTTGGGGACGCGCAGGGGATGCTCCAGGGCGTCGGCGAAGTCCGCCAGCTTGCTGTACTCGATGAACTGCGTGGCGTCGGGGTCGAACTTCTCCCAGATCTCGTAGAAGGTCTCGAAGTCGTCCTCGCTGAGCGGGTCCGCGCTCTCCTCCGTGGCCACGCTGAAGTTCTCCAGGATGATGGCGATGTACATGTTGACCACGATCAGGAAGGAGATGATGATGTAGCTCACAAAGAAGAAGATCCCCACCGAGGGGTTGCCGCAGTCCCCCTTGAAGCCGCTGCCCGGGTGCTCCTTGTCCAGGTCACAGTCTGGGGGCCGGTTCAGGATGGGCAGCAGGAGCCCGTCCCAGCCGGCCGAGGTGGTGATCTGGAACAAGCAGATCATGCTGTTGCCAAAGGTCTCAAAGTTGAACATGTCATCTATGCCGGCCTCGTGCTTGACGTAGGCGAAGTTGGACATGCCGAAGATGGAGAAGATGAACATGACCAGGAAGAGCAGGAGGCCGATGTTGAACAAGGCAGGCAGGGACATCATTAAGGCAAAAAGCAGCGTGCGGATCCCTTTGGCTCCCTTGATCAATCGCAGGATGCGGCCGATGCGAGCCAGGCGGATGACTCGGAACAGCGTGGGTGACACGAAGTACTTCTCGATGATTTCAGCCAGGAACATCCCTAAAGGAGAGAGGCAACAGTGGAGACGTGTGCGTGGAGATGCACAGGCTGCTGCTTCCTCTGGGCTGAGTGGAGGATGGGGCACGTGCAAGGCCGTGGGTGGATTTTCAGAGGGTGTTTGGGATGGAGGGGTCTCACGTTCAGGCAGGTAAATCCTCCTGAGGGGCAGCTCTGATCTCTGCTCCCTGTGAGCAGTGAGGGGACAGCTGGAGCTGTGTCAAGGGAGGGATATCAGGGAAAGATTCTTCTCCCAGAGGGGTTTTGGGCACTGAAAATGAAAATCAGGGGATGGGCATGGCCCCGAGGCTGCCAGAGCTCCAGGAGCTCTTGGACAATGCTCCCGGGGTGGGATTGTTGGGGGGTCTGTGTGGGGCCAGGGGTTGGAGTGATCTCTGTAGGTCCCTTCCAGCTCAGGACATTCCATGATTCTGTGATTCTAGGTCTTAACTCAATGCTCTGGCTCCCAAAATGGAGAGGGGAAGAGGTTGGGAGCCACAGACCCTCCTGCATGGATAGGGAAGAGGTTCAGCTACAGAAGGACTCATCCCTCCTGCTCCAAGCTGCTTTTTGGAGGTGTCTGCTCCCAGTGCCTGCTGTGGGAGCCATGGGACTCTGCTCTGAGGGTGCTAAAAGTGGGTGAGATCAACCTGATGTCAAGCAGCAGAAAAATCTGGGGCTGAATTTCAGGCTGCAGGATGGTCTGGTGGTTTCTCGTGTGCCTTGTGCCCTGCCAAGCTTTACTCCCATTCACTTGTGAGGTTGTGCATATTTTGTAGATTAGATGCTAAAAACCTCAAAACCTGCTGGAGGAAGCATGGATTTAACATTCAAACAAACTGCAACCAAGATGGCAAGGCCTGTGCTGTGGCAAGAAGCCCTGCAGGGCAATTTTCAGGGGTTACTGAGCATTAAAATATTCTAATGAAGTGAGCGAAACTTCAGTTTTTACAGAGAGAGCAATTGTCAAATGGCTTACCCCACACAACTGGAATGCCAGAACAGAGGGAAGGGGCATCAGTCAGGACTTCATAAATAAATTCAGACAAATTCTGCCACGGTGTCTCCCCAAGGCTCAAAGAGAACCCTGAAGTCCTGCTACATACATATCCCTTTCAAAGACACGTTCTACCCTAAAAATGCCAAAACAGCCTGGCACTCAAACACCTCTAGGTGTGGAAGAGGTTTTACAGAGACTCCTGTGAGCCAGAGAGAAGTTTGATAACAGGATCCACGTTTAGCCCTGAAAGAATTTCCTACCTTGACATAGAAACCAAGGTTGTTGACATAGAAACCAAGAAAGAAAAGGATAAACAAGAGAAATTCCAATGAGCACTTAAGTTTGTCTCTCATGAGCAATGAGTAAAGTGTAAAAAGGATAAATAAGAGAAATTCCAATGAGCACTTAAGTTTGTCTCTCATGAGCAATAAGTAAAGAGTAAAAAGAAAAATGAGTAAAGAGTGTTGTAAGAGTGTATAAAAAGCATTCATGCTAAAATAAAAACGGGCTTGAAGCCTTCTGAAAATGCATCGTGCTGCTTTGTGTTGCCTCTGGCTCAACCACGACCTCTGAGTGGTGTCCCACTTACCCACGATGGACAGAATCACGACCACGAAGTCGAAGATGTTCCACCCGATGGTGAAATAGTAGTGCCTCAAGGCGAACATCTTCAGCACGCACTCACAGGTGAAAAAGATGACAAACACAAAGTTGATCCAGTAAAGGATGTCCTCCATCTGCTTGCTCTGGGTGTCGGTCTCCACCATCATGGTCACCATGTTGAGGCAGATGAGCATCATGATGACGATGTCGAAGGCTTGCTGCGTGACGAAGTCGAAGACGGCTCCTTGGATGCGGTTCTGTGGAGCAGGAGAGACAGGGAACAGAGTGTGAACAACAATCATGGAATGGTTTGGATTGGAAATGTCCTTCAGGTGATCCCATTCCACCCCCTGCCCTGCCCAGCCTGGCTTTGGATACTCCCAGGGGCACCCACAGCTTCTCTGGACAACCCATGGCTTCCTCACAGGGAGGAATTTCTTCCTAATTCACCATCAGTCAACAAATTATTTCACCATTGGTGGAACCGGGTGTCAACAACAATCATGGAATGGTTTGGACTGGAAATGTCCTTCAGGTGATCCCATTCCACCCCCTGCCCTGCCCAGCCTGGCTTTGGATACTCCCAGGGGCACCCACGGCTTCTCTGGACAACCCATGCCAAGGCTTCCTCACAGGGAGGAATTTCTTCCTAATTCACCATCAGTCAACAAATTATTTCACCATTGGTGGAAGGAAGGATAAGGACCTAGTTTTGTCAGTTTTGAGCAAAGCTTTCAAGGCAAACCCTGTCCACGAGGCAGTCTGGTTAGGACAAAGGCAGGGAAATGCCATTATTTACACCCCAGCCCTACTCCACCCCTACTAGCAGCACATCTTGCTCTCTGCTGAGCCTTTGCAGTCCCAGCTGGGGAAAGCAGCCAGGTCCCTGCACTGATGGGCACCTGCAGGAGAACCCAACAGCTCCGGTGTCCTGGCACCACCCCAGCCCCAGAAGCAGGATGCTTTATCCATACAGCCCCTAAGGGACTCAACCCAACCCCTTTTCTGGCTTTCTGAGGGATCCAAAGCCTTTCAGGAACCAGGGCAATGAGCTCAGATCTCCATCAGCGAAGCCCCCAAGGCTGGATGATTGCCAAAGGTTCTCCTGTGAGTGCCAGGAGGCTCCTACTCCACATCTAAGGCCTCTCGCCCAGGTGAAGTTTTGGGATTATTTTCCTGATTCCGGTGATGAACTGATTAACACCAACCCCAGCACAAATGTTTTAACCTTTGCAGGTGAGTTACAGTGACAAAACCAGGGTGATGAAGGTCCAACATGAGTTAGAACAAGGGATGGTTTTGGAGAAAAAGCTCCTTTGAAATCCACCCCACAGGTTTATCCTGAGCTCCCTCTGATGTACTCACCAGAGGTCGGGGAATGGGTTTTTGAGGCTTCTTTGAGCCCAGTTTTTTCATGGCATTGTAGTACTTCTTTTGTTCTTCTGTCATGAAAATATCTTGACCTCCAAAGTAAAGGGGCAAAAGGAAAACTGGTTACAATCAGCTCATGAACCAGAAGGGAAAGGAGCAAACCCCAGCTCAGGTGAGACCTGCCAGGTGGGAGGCTGGTGGCAGCTACTTCAGACAGAAAAAACTCCCACTAACACCCAGGGTGCACTGATCTTAATGAAAAATTATTGCTTTTCCTAGAAATGAAATTTATAGGAAATGAAAATTACCTATAAATTGAAATGTATGGGTTTCATTGCACTGCCTCCTTCCCCATCCCTCTCTCCCCTCTGTGGTGAGCAGCTGGGAGGGCATTTCCAGGAGCTGCACCATGCAAACCCATCCCAAATCAGAGCTCCAGCCCCTCAGGTTGGGGTGTTCTAAGGGGACAATGGTAGAAACCCAAACTTACAACTTTTTTTTTTGAGGAAAAGCAGGATATGAGACAGAGGCAGAAGGAGAGGCAAGGAAGACATCGTGCTTCCAGTCTGTATTTTAGTCAAGGCATAAAAAAACCCCAAAATGCATGAAAATCTAGAGAAAACGTTTAATCTGGCTGTAGTTTAAATCAAGCCTTGGGCTGCACGTTGTGCTCAGCCATTCCTGTGAGGCACCAAGAGGCCCACAGCTCTAAAAAAAGGAGCTTTGTGCCCCAAAATGACTTTATTTTACAGAGAAAGCCACCAGCCTGAAGAGCCAACAGTCCTGGAACAGGTCTGAGCTGGAATCAGCAAACACAGGTCACTTATCTTTTTCTTTTGTTGATTGAAGTTGTCGATGATGACACCAATGAACAAGTTCAGGGTGAAAAAGGAGCCAAAGATGATGAAGATAACAAAATAAATGTACATGTAAATGTTGTCCTCGTACTTGGGCTGCTCTTCTTGCTGAAGGGGAGACAAGAAAAACAACAAATGACATTTCAAAGACATCACACAAACACAGGCAAAATGAGATTGGTTTTGTTTCCAAACCATCAAAGATCAAAAATCAGTTAGAGTAGAACAACAACAACAACAACAAAAAACCAACCAGAAGAACCTGCCCTTTTTGGGATTTTCTTCAGCATCTTTTAACTCATCAGACCCCCAGAGCAAAGGAAACAAGCCCAGCATGAAATACTTGCTACAAACACAATTCTACGACTTTTACTCTTGATTTTAGCAAAGCAAAAGAGCAGACAGAAATAAGGGGAGGGGAGTTTTGCAGGTTACCTTTCTGGAATCTACAGCTGCATACATGATGTCCATCCAGCCCTTGAATGTAGCCTGGCAGAGAAAACACAGAGACAGAATTCACCCAAAATACAAGAATTGCACCAGCTCTGTCAGGGACTCCCTGGCATTCTTGATGGCCCTGTATAATGAACTTTAATATTATTTCAATATTTCTCTTTTCATTTAATCTAAATTACAGAAATCAAGCTCAAGGAGTTGAACCTCATGAGGTTCAACCAGGCTGAGGGTGACTGGGGGACTTGGGGCCTCTTATTGAGACCCAGCAATCAGGAAAGAGAAGAAATATAAAATGGCAAATTCATCCCAGCCCCAACCCCAGCGAATGCTGGATTTCAGAGAGGGAAGCACATGGAATGCACCAGGAGCATTTTGTATTTCCAACCCCTCAGTTTGGGGTGGTTTGGGGGGGGAACACAGCTCCAGCCCCTCAGTTTGGGGTATTTTAGAGCTCCAGCCCCTCAGTTTGGGGTATTTTAGAGCTCCAGCCCCTCAGTTTGGGGTATTTTAGAACCCCACCCCTCAGTTTGGGGTATTTTAGAGCTCCAGCCCCTCAGTTTGGGGTATTTTAAAGGGACAATGGCAGAAACCCAAACTTACGACTTGCAGCAGAGCCAGATATCCTGCCCCAACGTTGTCAAAGTTAATTTTCACATTCTTCCATCGGATCTCCGTGGAGTTGGGTGGCATCAGAGCCTCGCAGTCTGTCTTGTTGTTAACAACCTCTATCTCAAAGCGATGCTCAGCTGTTTCATTAAAGCAGTAATGATATTTCCCGGCAAACAGGTTAACCCCCATAATGCTGAAAATCAGCCAGAAGATAAGGCAGACCAACAAGACATTCATAATGGAAGGGATAGCGCCAACCAAGGCATTGACAACCACCTGTGTTGGAAGGGGTGGGAAAAAGTTTCAGTATAAAACACGAGGCAGGAGACAGCAAGCAAAAGTACAGCTGTTTTTGGGGGGGAATGGGGGAGGCCACTGGCAGGTCGGGGCTTGATCCAGGCAGAAGTTGGCAGTGAATTTGTTGGAAGCTTCAAATTTTGCTTCAAAGGCAGCTGGGGAAGTTGTGTTTTCAAAATAAGTGTTTGTGTTATGATTATTATAATGTATATTTATTATATTATATGATATTATAGTATAGTACATTGTATATTATATCATATATGTTATATGTTATATATGATATATTATATATATTATATGTTATAGATAATAGATTGCAGATTATATATTATATATTACAGATTGTATATTAGATATTAGATATTAGATATTAGATATTGTATTGAATGTATTATATATTGTACATTGTACATTGTATATTGTACATTGTATATTGTATATTGCATATTGTATGGCATATATTATACATTGTATATTACATATTGTATATTATGTATTGCATATATTATATAATATATACATATTATATAATACGTAGATATTTCAAAATAATTTCTCTTTTCAAGCCATGTTGTTGGATTGATGGAGTCTGGACTCTTTGTTCTTCAACAAAACAATTCTTTTCTGTAATTTTAATTGCCCAAAGGCAGAGGTGGGGGCTCAGACTGTAACGAGCAGGCTCCTGATGGAATTTCCTGAGAGCCAAGTGTGAGGACACTTTGGCTCGTGGGCTGCAGAGGTTTTCTCAGCCAGTGGCCCCCCCAGCCATTCCCCACGCTCAAACAAGGCTGTTTTCACTCAGGGCCTGGTCCTGCTCCCCGCAGCGGGGTCAGCACCAAGCCCAGCATCACTGTGGTCACACTGAAGCACGGACTAACACCAAGGTCACACTGTGGACTAAGCAAGGCCAGTCGTGTATCCCAGGCAGAGAGCTGAGCATGCAGCCTGGCAGGCTCCCCAGCACACAAAAGCCACGTTCCCTCCTCCAAAGGGCAGCAAACGCGCAGGAACCAGGGTGGGTTTTGTCAGAGCTCATCTCTTCCTAATTTTAGCCCTTCACGGTTTGGGAGCACCGTGTCCCTGAGCATCCCTGGCCAACACACGGCCAATGTAAGCTTTTAATAGAGGCAGGTCAGCAGGATATTAAATCTTTTATTATGATCTCCTAATTTAGATTCCTTTAATAGAAGAACATCATCTAAACTATCTGCCTTGGTTTTGAAAGGTAACTCAACCACACACAGGGGACTTGGGAGGCCCCAGGGGTGGAACGTTGGCCACAGCTTGTCCTGGTCCTTCTCCTCCCCTGGCTGGAAGCCACCACCACCCCCTGTGGCCACCACAGCACCTCGTGGCCAGCATGGGCTGAGCCTGGAGGTCTGGGCTGGGTGTCCAGGGGTGGGACTGGGTGGGTTTTAAGGTCCTTCCCAACCTAAACCAGTCTGAGATAGAGGGGTGAAGGAAAACTGAAGAGCACAGTAGTCCAGATGGTGAACCTTCTGTTCCAGGTGGTAAATGATGTCAGAATTCATCCCTACGCCCAGGAAGGCACAGGTGAGAGCCCCAAAAGGCTGCAGGGGGATGCCTTTGCTCTCACTCTCTCTTCATGCCAACAGGATGCTCAGCTGCTGGACCAGCAGCACTTTTTGGGTCCCTTCCTCCTACAAATACATTGATTTATTCCAGCTACCATGTGAAGCAAAAAGAGGGTACTATCCCCCTGAAATATGGTCATTTGTGGCTCACTAAATCCACAGAGCTTTCCAAAAGGAGGGAAAGGAGGAACATGGCTTTTGTGTGCAGACTGACAAGAACACATGCATGTCTCACAGCATCACTATCAAACTCCCTGACCGAGCTCAGAGCAGAGCAAGCTCCTGGAAATGCAGATTGCTATGGAGGAGAGAAAAGCAAAGAACTACAGTTCCAGTCTCCTTTGCACAGGCATTTCAGATCTCTGAAATTGCTCTGGTTGGATGGGGCACTGACACTTGTCTCCAAAACAAAGATAATTGGGTCTAGGGAGCTGACAGGGCTGAAGTTGTAACTATCAATTTTCCCGTGGTGAAAATCCCCCACTTGAAGCATGAGAATTTCCTGGTTGTACAACAGAAATCTTCTCCCCGGCATGGTTTAAAACTAGCTTTTAGTTTTTCCAGGTTTAGTGTCCTTTGTGATCAAACTTCTGGGGAGGACCCAAACCCAGCCCAGCAAAAGCTCCACCTTTGTGTGAATGGAAATTTTTCTTCCTTTGTGCCTCTGCTGTGGATTCAAACCTAGAATTAAACTCATGACACAAAGAAATAACAGCAGGAGAAGGTCTTAGACAGGAAACACCTTCTTTGGATTTGGAGCTCAGGGATTTCTATTACTTCCCAGGGAGTTTGAGGAGCCCTCCTCAGCTCTCTGCTCCTCTTGGGCTGGATTTTGGGATTTTGGGCTGGATTTTGGGCTGTAAAGGTCAGGACGATCCAGGTGGAACTGCTCCAGAAAGATCCAGGTGGAATTGCTCCACTCAGACCCTGAAGTAAAACTGTTACTGCCATTCCTTTCCCTTATTATTTAAAATACATAATTTTCTCTCTGGTTATGAGCTAACTGGGATTTAGCACAAAACCCCACATTCCTGTTCTAAGAGCACCTGGGAAATCCATTGATATGAAAAACCTTTTATTTCATTTTTTACTACACTTTTTTTTTTTTTTGCATTTTTTTAGGAGACTCTTTCAATCCCAAATGGGGAAAAAAGCACCAAAATGTCAGAATATTAGTGGCAAAGCAGCCAGACACTGCAATAATTGAAACACCCAAGGGAGTGGTGCCAATTCAAGCTTCTTAAGTTCAATGCTTTGCTTGTGCTTTGTTCTGGTTCCACAGTGACAGGACAGGGACCAAAAAAGCATGGAAAAAAAGGAAGGGGACAGAAAGGAAAAGCTTCACTACCAGACAAGGCTGCCAGTCACCACCAGACTGGACTGAGAACAACAAGGTGCAACAAGAGGAATGAAACCAAAGTTTTCAAAGAGCTGAGCTCCCCCCAGTCCCTTCCTGCAGTGACCCACAAGAGGCAGCAGCCTTTTCCCCCTGGTTACTTTTTTAAAAACCCCCTCTGAGACAGAATCTTTCAATCCAATTCCACCAACAGCCAACACCTGGAGACCCTGAGGTGGTTCCAATTCTGCTTCTTTGCACCTGGTGATTCTCCCTAGGTAAAAAAAAAAGTTACAGCTGAGAAGCCCCTCGGATGCTCGAGGTCAAAGCCAGGCCAAATGAGAACAGCCAAGTGTCAACATCGGCTACAAATGGGTGGTTTGGGCCAGTAATTAATGTAATGAGGCAGCTGATGCATCTCCCTTCGTTAGAGGGGAGGGTGCAGCGGTGGGCAGGGTGAGGGTACATCCACGTAGAGGTGATCAAGTCAGCAGCTGCATCATGATTCTGTTTGGAATTTTCTTTCCACCAGTTTTGATCAGTTCTAGCATGCTTTTAAAAATAAAATGCTCCACGGGCATGCAGAAGGATCAGCTGCTAATGGCATCTTACCCTCATCCCCTCAAATCGGGACAACGCTCTTAAAGGCCTCAAGGCTCTTAGTGTCCTAAGGGATTTTATGGCACCTAGTTCCGAGTAGCCCAGGGCATTAGCTATAAGGCTGACTAAAGAGACCTACACAGAAAATAGAAAAAAATAGAAAAAGAAACCAGAAAAAAATAGAAAAAAAAAAAAGGAAAGAAAACAGAAAAAAAAAAAAAAAAAAAAAAAAAAAAAGGAAAGAAAACAGAAAAAAAAAAAAAAAAAAAAAAAAAAAAACCAACACAAAAAAGGAAATAAAAAAAAAAAAAAGAAAAAAAAAAGAAAAAAAAGGTTCCAGACTGTTAGATTGGATCCCCTAGCCCTGATTGCCCAGCCCAGGAGCCACCTGGGCCGCCCCAAATACCGAAGCCATGACACCAGCTGCCTACTTCACTTGACTGAACCGACCTGGAAGGAAATAATGCAGTTGAGAAAAGACCGAGAGGGGAGAGATCAGTGAGAGAGAGAGAGAGAGGCAGAGACACACACGGAGAGGGGCTGTTGGAAGGAAGAGCCCAAACGATGACAAAAGCCTTACCCTCGCCCTTTACCGGCTGCAGGGATCCCGGCGGCGCCCATGAAATTTAAGCCAGACAAATGTTAAAGGTACCTATGAGAAAGAATACAGATAAATACACACACTGCACACCTGGGCCAAGCTCTCCATCACTCTGGGGGTGCTGAGCCTCAGCCCAGCTCCTCCTGCCTCACCACCCCAGCGTGGGGGAGATCTGCAACCAAATGGGTTGGAGGTGTTCTGAAAGGACTGAATGAGTGATTTGAATCTGTTCATGACTGAAACTTTCAAATGTAATCATTTTCAACCAAATTGGTTTAAGAGATGTGATTTTCTCGCTGGTTGTGAGCTAACTGGGATTTAGCACAAACTGGGATTTAGCACAAACTGGGATTTAGCACCCCACATTCTTGTTCTAACAGCACCTGGGAAATCCACTGGCATGAAAAACCCTTTATTTCATTTTTTTACTACACTTTTTTTTTTTTGCATGTTCTTAGGAGACTCTTTCAATCCCAAATAGGGGAAAAAAAAGCACCAAAATGTCAGAATATTAGTGGCAAAGCAGCCAGACACTGCAATAATTGAAACACCCAAGGGAGTGGTGCCAGAACCAATTCAAGCTTGCCAAGTTCAATGCTTTGCTTGTGCTTTTTAAACCAAATTGGTTTAAAACCAAATTTCCAGGAAATTCGGTTTTAAACCAATTTTGGGCTGCTGATGAGTGGAAGGATATCACTGCCAGGGTAGAGAAACTTCCTCAAATGCCTCCCATGCAAAACCAGGACGCTGGCACACAAAGCAGCTCTGATTTCTGCCTGCTCTGACTGTGATCCTGTTTTAGAGCTGTTCAAATTCCTCAAATACAGCATTTCTGATCCCTTTTCCAAGGCTTTTCCAACCAGCCCAGTACAGTCCAGTGTAGCCCAGTACATCCCAGGGCTTCACCACACGCTCCTGTGGCTGCTGAGGTTGAGATTGGGGAAAAAAAACAGGAAAAAATCAGGAAAAACAGGGCTGGGATGGGGGAAAATGGGATAAAACAGGATTGGGATGAGGGAAAGTGGTCACCATGCCTGGGGATTCCCAGGAATTGCTTTTCCCAAGGTTTTTTCCACATCTCAAAACCAGAATCTCCAGTTTTCCCAATTTTCCCCAACCCCAGCTCCAGAATCCTCCATTTTCCTCCCCAAAACCAACATCTCCAGTTTTCCCAATTTTTCCCAATCCTAGCTCCAGAATCCTCCATTTTCCTCCATTCCAGGTGTTTTCTCCCATTTTTCCCCATCTCAAAACCAGAATCTCCAGTTTCCCCAATTTTTTCCCAACCCCAGCTCCAGAATCCTCCATTTTCCTCCATTCCAGGTGTTTTCTCCCTTTTCCCCCATCTCAATCCTGTTTTCCTCCCATTTTTCCCAATCCCAGCTCCACTTCCCCCGATTTCCCTCATCCCAATCCTGTTTTATCCCATTCCCCCCATCCCATCCCCATTTCCAACATTTTTCCCCCCAGTCCCAACCTCAGCAGCCACAGGAGCACGCAGTGAAGGACTGGGCTGTACTGGGTTATACTGGGCAACCTGCTGAGCAGCCTGGAGTCAGATCTAGGCTCTAAATCTGAATTTTCAGAGATCCTTGAACCCACCAAGTCCAGACACAACTTGGCCACGTGTAAACAGTTACAGACATGGCACAGCAGCTGCCACTATTCCCTTTATTTGCTACATTTTTTCCTTTTTTTTGCTACATTTTCCCCATTTTTTGCTACCATTTTTCCTTTTTTTTTTCTACCATTTTCCCTCTTTTTGCTATATTTTTCCCATTTTTCTCCACCATTTTTCCTATTTTTCACTACCATTTTTCTCCACCATTTTTCCCTACCCTTTCTCTCATTTTTCTCTACCATCACACTTCAGACAGATAAGAAAGAGACGTGAACCCTTTTTAAGAAAAGAAAAAAAGAAAGACATCCATGTACAGCAACAAACAAAAAAAACACAGGAGCTCCTCCTGGAACAGGTGGGGTTTCAGGGGAATTCTCAGAATAGGACACTTCCTATGTATCATTTTTTAATAGAAAATATATTAGATTAATAATTAGAATTAATTACAAGGATGATTCTTATTCCACATGCATTTCTGGGAAATATCAAATCTGGATTTTAAATGCATAAATGTGTGGGAAAATTGAGATTTTTATCTTCTTTGGGCATGTGGCTGATGGGCTTTTTCCATCTTCATGTGGAAATCCCCTGTCCACAGCAGAGCACTTGGAATGAAATTATTTTAAGGTTCCTTCCAACTCAAACCATTCCAGGATTCCATGGTATCTTCCCCAAAAATACGTGGCCACAACAGATTGGTTTTTCCATCCCATTTTAAAATTCCACTGCTTTGAACCATGCCAGGGCTGCCCCAAAGGTTCCAACAAAGCCTTTGTGAGGCAAAATCAGCTCAGGGCAACGCTGGTATGCTAAAACCCTAAACATAAATAGAATTAACTACAAAAATCCAATGGTTTTAGGGATGTGGGCTGTTTAAAGAACGCTGTAAATGTAACTGGAAGTGTCCCATCCCTGGAAAATGCCCCTGCACCCCTGGAAGTGGCCCAGGCCAGGCTGGACAGGAACAACCCGGGGTGGTTAAAGGTGTCCCTGCCATGGCAGGGGTGGCACTGCATGAGCCCAAACCATCCCACGACGCCATGAACAAAGAATTCCCATTTTTGGAGCTTTTTCCCCTCGGGATAACCCCTCACTCCCGAGCAGGACCCTCGAGACCATGCCAGAAAAGGCTGTTGGAGCTTTTAATAAATAATCTTTGAGGATTATTCCCTGAGGACATTCCAACAGAAGACACAGCAGGCACCGAGGTCGGACCAAGGGAATCCCAGATTGACTGAAAAGCAGAATCCTTCATTATTACCCAGTAAAAGTCTTCACAAACACACCCAGGAAGCTTTGGGGATGAGGAGGAGGGGAATTGGACAATGCTATAGCAACCTGCAAAATAACATCCAAGAGTGTTGTTAGGATGCAAAGGCTCATTCCCTGCTGCCCTGGCTCACTCCAGCCCCTTCCACGACACGCCACAAAATTTGGGTTAAAAAAAGGTGATTCAACAGGTACAGGACACGAAGCATGGCTGAGGTTTTGTTGAGGGATATTTTGGCATCTCAAAGTCACATTTCAAGTGGTTCATTCAGAGAAAAATGTGCAATTCTTCTGTGACATCAAGGGAAAACAGGAATTCTAAAATTCCTAAAGCCCTGGGAATTCCAAACCCTTCTGCACTTGGCTCCCTCACTGTTCCCTTCCTGCCTGGGAAGCTCCTGATCTTTATTCCACTCCCAGATACATGGGAAGGAAATTAAACTTGAACCACATCTGCCCGTTAAACTGGAATTAAACTGGGATTCAATTTGAATGAAACTGGAATTAAACTTGTACTTTATCTTCAGGCAGCGAGAGAGACCCAGAAAATACATGTATTTATTAATTTATTTCAAAATTTAAATTTATTAATTTTAATTTCTTTTCTGTCAGAAAATAAAATTTATAATGTGCAGGTTGTGTCCAAGGAAAGGTGTTGAGGGGATCGGAGAGGACTTTAAAAAGAAAATTAAAATTTCAAATTTCAATTTTCCTACAGGAAACAGAGTTTGAGTCACTTCTGCCCCTGAATTCCAAGCATAGTTCCTTCCACCTACTCAGGAATATTTCCAGAGTGATAATGGTGCTGAACAGCAACTGAATCATACACAGAGTGTTCCAAAGGAGAAGCCTGGAAAAAACTGGGAATTCTTTTTTAACATACTTGCTCTTGGGGCAGTCACTAGAGCCACTGAATCCCAGATGGATGTGACGAAACTCTTTAAAAGAATCCAAGCACTTGGGATTCTAAATTTCCTGGTTCTGAAATTTCCAATTGAATTACACCATTTTCTACCACTTTGGCCAACATAAATTCAATTTCTTTTAAATTCTCTCTGTGCTTCAGAGCCAAATTTATTGCTACAACTTCTCTCTATTGTCTTTTTTTTTTTTTTCTTCTAATTCTACAATTTATTCACCCTTTCTTTATTTCTCAGATTTATCCTCCCTCCCAAGATGTTCTGCTGGGATTCCAGGGTGGATCTGCCCCTCACTCTAAATTATTCTGAGCTTTTTGTTGGATGTGATCCTGCTTTTTCTTTCCTGTCTCTTTTGAACAAAAGATGGATAATGCTGAACTTGATTGTGCACAAGGAGCTTTCCAAGGGTTGAGATTCTCACAAACCCAGAAGTGGGGTGGTGGGATGGGGAGGCTCTGCTGCCTCATCACCCCCTCATCATTAATAATGCAAGAAAATGATTCCAGAGAATGTAACTCCCAGAAACATCCCCAAGGAATTCCACATCTGCACAGCTTTCCCACTGGTAACACCTCCAAACACAGCCAGGTCTCCTAAAAATTCCATTTTCAGCACAGAAAAAAAAGAGCCAAGGGCTGGAAAATCCTCCTTGGTCCCTGCAGGGCAGAAATCCCACGGCTGCACAGAGGGCTGAGGGGCTTTGCCCTTCTTTTGGGAACTCTCAGATATTGGGATTGTGAAATCTGTGACCCAGTTAGGACGTGAGGAGGAAACACCCCGAGCAGAAGGAAGGAGGAGAGGATACATACAGCCACGATGAGGAAATCCAGCCAGCACCAGGCGTTGGTGAAGAACTTGACAAATCCATAGGCACACCACTTCAGCAGCATCTCCAGGATGAAAATGTAAGTGAAGACCTTGTCTGCATACTCCAGGATGGTCCTGATGGTTTTCCTCTGCTCGATGTAAATATCCTCAAAAGCCTGGGAAATAACCAGGGGCAAGTGGCATTACATGGGATTTATTGCACACTTCAGGAGCTTCAAATGATCCTGAGGTGAGTTCAATGTACAGTTATAGATTAGTTAAATATATATATTAAAAAAAAATCAAACAAAATAAATAAATAAATAAATATATATATATAAAAATATATAAAGTACATAGATAGATAGATAAAAATACATATATTTTATTTATATATTAAATCAAACACAGAAAATTGATTTTGTTCCGGTCACAGATTGGACTTTATGGTCTTGGAGAGCTTTTCCAACCTCAGTGATTCTGGGAATTTCTGATCCTGTGAAATCAGACAGAGATACAGGATCTGACTTTTGCCCAGATCCTCACATTTCTAGTCAATCCAGGGTCAGAACCCAGATTTGAAGGCTTTGTTCTTAATTTAAGCTAAACTAAAAACACTAATAAGAGCTTGTGTTGTTTTCCAGGTAGGAATTCCCACAGTTTGCTTTTTCCCAAAATTTCCTGTCTACAATCAGATGTCCCCGAGCCTTTGATTTAATTTTATTTTCTTTTACTCACCAGAGCCCCACTGCTCAGCAGGATCATAAAGATGATGAAAGTCTCAAACCAATTGTGCTCCACAATTAGGAAACAAGTTTTCCTCAAGGTCCACCACGACTTTCCCAGCCCCTCCTCAATATTGACCTGACAACACTTGCAGCGCTGCATACAGCCTGGAACAGGGACAGGACACACTTTCACTCAGGAAACGCAGGATTTAAGGGAAAAACGTTAAATTCTCACTGTCTAGAAGCAGTTTGGATGTCACCAACATGAACCACGCTGAGTGGGTTTTAACGCGAGTTAAAGTTTTTGCGTTCTTGAGGATTTTAGGGTTGTTTTGTCACTTCTGGGCACCAGAACTGACATCAATTTGGGAACAGATCAGCTCGTTCTATTTGGTGAGGTCCAAGCTCTCGAGGAGACAAGTGGAAAACTTGCTGATAAAATAACCTTGAACCATTTAAAGCATCTTTGCCTTGGGAATTCCTGTAACGGATCAGCTCTCGAACAACATTGAGGCCAGAGGAAAGGAAAAGTACTCTGCTTCTGAGTACTTAAGGCATCAACTGCACAAAAATCATCTTGTTCTACTACAAGTCATGTCTGATTCTTTAGAAATTCCTCCTCTGAGGGTGGGGAGGCTCTGGCACAGGGTGCCCAGAGGAGCTGGAGCTGCCCCTGGATCCCTGGAAGTGTCCAAGGCCAGGCTGGATGGGGCTTGGGGCAAGCTGGGATGGTGGGAGATGTCCCTGCCCGTGGCAGGGAGTAAATCTGGATAAGTTTAAGGTCCCTTCCTACACAAACTATTGGATGATTCTATGATCTACATCCTAGCAGTGGCAGCTGCATCTCTGAGAGCTTCATTTTGCAAATTCCTCTGAATCAGTGCACCAACATCCAAGAAGGGCCTTGAGATAAGCTGAGAGCCTGCCCTGATCCAGGCTTGTGGAAGAGGTTTTACAGTGACTTCTGTGAGCCAGAGAGAAGTTTGATAACAGGATCCACGTTTACCCCTGAAAGAATTTCCTACCATTTTCTGCTGACATAGAAACCAAGAAAGAAAAGGATAAACAAGAGGAAGCTGCAGCTGCCTATCCCAACGAGCACTTTGTTTGTATCTCATGACCAATGAGTGAAGTGTAAACTCAGGAGTTTTTTGAGAATGTACAAAAAGCACTCATGCTATAATAAAACCAGCTGGAAGCCTTCTGCAAATGGAGCTCTGTGTTGTGTCTGCCTCGGCTGTGACACAGGCTGACCCAGCCCTGAGGTGAGCTCACCCAGAACACCCCCAGAGCCTCTTCCTTCACTCCCCTCTCACCTTCAGTGAAGCACGCATCTGGGTCCAGGTACTCCTCTGGTGCCTCCACGGGCACCTCCTCCACCTCAGGCTTTATATCGATGGTGCTGCCCTCGGAGGAGCTGCTCTCGTCGAGTTTCTGCAGCACAAAACCCCAACCCAATCAAGATCAATCCCAAAATCCCAAAAAACACCCCATCTCATGGTAACTCAGCTGGTGGCTCACCACATTTGCTGTCATGGAAGTTGTTTCCTCACTTTAATCACTGAGGTGCTGACCCAGCTTATGTCTCATGCTAACAGGACAGGCAGGATTAAATAGTTACATTATGAAAGGTGTTCCTGTCCAAGGAGGGGCTTGGAACTAGATGATCTTTAAGCTCCTTTCAACCCAGGCCATTCTATGATTATATATATTTTACTGTGATTATATATATTTTTTAATTTATTTCTTTTTATATTGCATTGTATTATTATATATATATTATTTATTTTATATTCTATATTTATTTTTATTTATTTTTATATATTCTATAAATATATATAATACATTTATATTTATAAATCTATTATATTTATATAATAGATTATATTTATATTTTTATATATAAATATATATTTATATTTATATTTATAATTATTTTACTATAAATTTTTATTTATTTTACTCTAACTATGGTAAATATATATAGTATATACATTTAGAATGTACAAATATATACTAAATATAAAATTAAATATAAACATATTTAGTATATATATAGTACATATAAATATATCGTACACATAAATATATAGCATAAATATATAGCATACATAAATATATAGCATACATAAATATATAGATATATAAATATATAGTTATATAAATATATAGTATATGTATTTATAGAATCATTCTATGATCATATATCATTATTTTATGCATATTTTTTATTATTAATTTTATTATTTGTGGCTTTCTACCAGCACACCAAACTCCACTTTGAGTGCAAAGACAACATCTCCACCACGAAGCTTAGTGCTGGAACTACACATCCCTCGCTGCCCAGAGGTGCCCAGGCCCTCCATCCCACCTCTTTGCTGCCATCGGGATCCGTGTCGCTGCTGAAATCCTCCGTGTTGAGGTTCTCGAAGTCGGACTCCCCCACGGCGATGGGGACGCGCACGGTGAGGTTGGGGTTGTTGATGAAGGACATGTGGTCCTCGTCGATGATGTACTTCTCCACGCTGCTCCCGATGCCGCTGGTGGTGCCGTTGCCGTTCTTGAGGAAATCGATGTCGCGGTTGATGTCGGCCCCGGTGTGGTTGGCGATGCAGTTCACCTTCTTGTCGTACAGCTCGTCCAAGGGTTTCACCTCGTCGGCCTCTCTCTGCTTGAAGTGGGCCTGCATGAACTCCCTGACCTTGGCCTTGGTCCAGGCGATGCCCTTCTTGATGCGGATCACCGAGATCTGCAGGTTGTTCATCTCGCCGTCGTCGTCCGTGGCTGCCAGGTTGTCTGCGCTGAAGGAGCTCAGCAACAAGGCCAAGAACAGGTTCAGCACCTGAAAGGGAAGAGCTGATGCTGGACTGACACACAAGGGGGGGATTCCCAAAGCTGAGCAGAGCACTCAGCGCCCACGCCCTGCTGGTCTCCAAGCACCAGCTCTGGCGTCCCACAAACTCATCCAGGTGCCCAGGTTCAAGGTACGACCCCCTGATGCTACAAAAAGTTCCCTCAACAGGGACCCTGGTGCAGCTCTGAGGAGTCCCAGGGGTCCAGGGCAGGTCCAGGGGTCCCTGGATCAAGCCCCTTGCAGGATCTGGACTGCAGATGTCAGAGAGCGATTTAATCCCCAAGGGATTTAAATTCAACCTTACTGATTTAGTCCCATCCCTGCCTCAAAGAAAATGGGGGAACTCTTGGCATTTTGAGTGATCACTCCCAGCTCTATTTCCTCACCCACATTTAGTGACCATCCCCAAGACTAATTTTATCCAAACCCTTTGGCAAGACAGGACCTCTCAGAGAGAGCTCACAACCACTTTGAAGAATTGCGACTGTTCATGTGACTTCATTCTTTGCTCACATTTTCCTCCACAGACTTTTCTTCATGAAATTTAAGGCCAGAAGGAAGCATCATGATCTAGTCCAACCTCCCACACAACAGGCCGCGCAGTTTCACAGCCCATTCCTGCACACAACAGCACCTCATGACTGAGCCAGTGGGCAGGTTTTAGAAGAAACCTCCATTCCTCATTTTAACACTTCAGGACCTTCCCCTGTGCACCAAATTATTGAGTTTTCTGGCAATTAAATTGCTAGTTTTTGCTTCTTTTTCCCCTCAGGTCAGGTCTGTGCACTTTGACTGAGGCTTTTATATTTTCAGCTTTATTGCAAAATGCTTCATTTACGGGTGACTGTTTAAGGTCCTCATCAAGCAAAAAACATCTTTAACATTGTGCTAGCAAAATCGGCTATCGGTAGATCAAAGGCCAAGAGGCACCTCCACAGAGCAGGAACAGACTCACAAACCATCACTCCCTCATCCTGGGGGTCTCCCCAAGTCCTACCCCACCCAGAGGCAACCAAGAAATCCCATCAGTAACCATTTACTGACCACTAAATTTCCGATGACCATGACCATCATGAAGACAATCAAGCACATGGCCTGTCCTGCCACTTCCATACAATCCCACATGGTCTCAATCCACTCCCCACACAACACACGGAAGACAATAAGGAAGGAGTGGAAGAAATCGTGCATGTGCCAGCGGGGTAGCTCACAATCGGGATTGATCTTGCAGACACACTCCTTGTAGCTTTTGCCAAAGAGCTGCATTCCCACCACGGCGAAGATGAACACGATGATGGCCAGCACCAAGGTCAAATTCCCCAAGGCACCCACTGAGTTACCAATGATTTTTATCAGCATGTTCAGAGTGGGCCAGGATTTGGCCAGTTTGAAGACTCTCAGCTACAAAAAAAAAAAACACCAAAACAAACAAATCTTAAGCAAAGAGGAAAATAAAGCAGAACTTCCTTAATGACAACCATCTTGTGTTTTACATAAAGTTAAGTCCATGCTTCTGCTGCTGAGGTTACAGTGAGCAGAGAATGCTTAACCTTTTTGGAAATTTGGGCTTGTGTATTTTGCACTTAGTTATTCCCCACACAAAGATCTTCCCAAAGGAAAAGTCACCCCTCCCTGCCCAAGCTGCTGCTCAGATCTCATAAAGAGCAGTCCTGAAGAAAGAAGAGACCATAAAAAATGGCACCACTCTATCTCTGTCCTCCACAAACCCAGAAAAAAGTGATTTTCCCTTGTCCTACGTAAATGGAAAAAATTCCTTATGTGAGGGGAACAGCTGGAGCTGTATCAGGGAAGGGATAGATTGGATATTGGGAAAAGGTTCTTCCCCTGCTTGGGCACTGAGCAGGGTCCCCAGGGAATGGTCACTGCCCCAGGGCTGCCACAGCTCAAAGGATGTTTGGACAACACTCCCACAGATACCCAGGGTGGGATTGCTGAGCTCCTGTGCAGGGCCAGGAGCTGCACTAGAAGATCCTTGTAGGTCCCTTCCAGCTAAGGACAATTCACGATTCTGTGATCCTAAGCTTTGTGGTAGCTCCACGATAATAGCATTAAAAAAGAGCTGGAATTTGGAATACCAATCGGAAAGATCGCAGCACGGAAAGTCCCTCCACATCTGCCAGACTCAGCTCCATTAAACTCAGGGAGACAATAAAGCCATCAAAGATGTTCCAGCCTTCTTGAAAATAATAGTATGGATCCATTGCAATGAGCTTCAGGAACATTTCTGCTGTGAAAATCCCAGTGAAAACCTGGAGTGGGGAGGAGAGACAGACAAAGAACAGGCAAAGAGTCATTTTTAGCTTATTTTCTGCTCTTCAGGCTAAGCCTCAACAATGCAATTGATTCAAAGTCCAAGCCCACGTCAATAATCCAGGCGCCCCAGCAGGAGCAGATCTGTGGGGAGAACTTAGCAATTTCCTTACCAGATTTCCTACAGAGAGCACGTGCTCGAACTCGGGGGTCATGGGGTGGTGCTCCATGGCCATGAACAACGTGTTCAGCACGATGCAGATGGTGATGGCCAAGTCAACAAAAGGATCCATGACAATTAAGTTCACAATCTCCTTCAGCTTCATCCAGTATGGGTGGCATTCCCAGATCAGGAAGGTATTGGCAAATTTGTACCAGCAAGGAGGACACTTCCTCTGGGACTCTTCCAGCTCTGCAGGTACAAAACAAAACGGAGTTCAGGCTTCATCTCTGAGGCTGAAGAACTAAAAAACTGTGAGCTTTGTGAAAATGGCCACGGAGGTGACACAAGAGAAGAGCTGGGTCAAGTCTGAGGGCAGGCTGGACATCAGGGAGAATGGAAAGGGTGGTCAGGGAGGTTTGGAGTCCCCATGCCTGGGCACGTCCAAGGAATGTGGCACTCAGTGCTCTGGCCTGGGTGACAAGGTGGGGATTGGTCACAGGTCAGACCCACTGACCTTGGAGCTCTTTTCCAACCTCAAGGATTCTTGGATTCTGGGATTTCATGGTTTTACTGAGCTCCATGGCTTCTCCTTTGTCCCCACCAGGTCACCATAACTGCAGTTCTAACCCTGTGCTTCAGCCCCACCAGGATGATCCAATGCAAATTATTCCAAATGAAGGGCTATATTTAACTCGGAACTGATCAAGGTAAAGCAGTTAAAACTAAAGTTACAGATTCCAAACTGCCTTTGCTGCCAGTTTTTAAATAACTGAGATGAATTCTGTGCTGAACACAGACATGGTCTAAAAGAGGAAAGAGGTGACATAATGCTGCAAAGGATTTTCAACAGGAATAACCTGATTAAGACTAACTACATTCATTTACAGAAATCAAACACAGAAATGCTGTGTCCATTTTTTTTTCTTTTTTACACTGGCTTATCTCAAGTGCTTAGGCAAAGAAAATACAAATGAGGAGTTGCCCCCATTTGTTGGCTTGCTGATTCCAGTCCAGCTGTGCACCCTCACCTTTTATTTTTTATGGGAAGGGAAAGGACCACTGTATGTGCTCTCCTTCCCATTGGTTCTCTGGTTGCTTAGTATTTAGTTGCCTTGGAATTTCTGAAGTTAAAAAGAGGCCCGTGGCACTGGAGCCCGTAGGCGTTTGCGCAGGAGGGGAGCAGCAGCAAAACCCTGCTCTGTTTCTAAGTATATTTCGTTTTCCTACAATTTTATTGCAGGAGACAGCAGGAATTTGAGATCATCAACCGCATGTGGCTGCTGTTCATGAATTCTTGCTGGCTCCTGCATGACACATTGGGAAATCTCATCTCCATGTGCTGTCCATTCCAGAATTCCCACCAGCCAACAGCCCCTTTCTCTTCTGACAGCTGTCACACTGCAGCTCCCAGTGCAGCTCCAATCCTTCTCTCCCACAGCCTGGAGCAAAGGAAGGTCTCTCCAGGGCTTGGAGATGACAGAACACCCAGGCCTGACACTGCCTTACTCCTCTGATCTCCACACTGCATTCTCTTCATTGTAAAGTTACAACTCTCTGCTGCCTTTACCTCCATCTCCGTGAAATCTGGATGCCAAAACCAAGTAAAATAAAGTCTAATAAATATTTCTTTATTAATAAAGACCCAAAAGAAGCAGATTTAGGCAAAACCATGCAATAATATGTACTGCTTTAAAGCAGTGGGAGCTGAATTCCACCAGACCAGGTTGCTCCAAGCCTTGCCCAACCTGACCCTGGACACTTCCAAGAATGGGGCAATTTCTCTGGGTAACCCCACCCTCACAGGGAAGAATTCCTTCCCAGTATCCCACCAACTCTGCCCTCTGCCAGTGGGAAGCCATTCCCTGTGTCCTGTCCCTCCAGCCCTTTGTCCAGAGTCTGACTCCAGCTCTCTTGGAGCCCCTTCAGGCACTGGAAGGGGCTCAAGGGTGCCCCTCCAATCCCCAGATGACACCTACCCTCAACAAGGGTGTTGGTCAACCCAGTCATGACACTGTTGGTCCGATCCTTCCTTCCATAGGACGCGTTCACCTGATCCATTGAGACCAAGAGAGACCCACCAGGCTTCTTCCTAATTTCGATTTCAGTGGTACCCTGAAAAATTCAGATGGTGATTAATACAGACTGGAGTCTTCTCTCTTACCCACTCTCAGCCCAGAAATGCAGCACTTAGTCTGCATTTCCATATTCTGTATTTTCTATATTCTGTGTATCCCTCTGTCCTTCCCACCTTCCTCCAACATGCAAGTGGTCCAACCAAAACTCAAGCCCTTTCTTCTGTTGGACCAGTGCTCTGCAGCCTTAGACAAATTACGGACTGTACTTTAGAGAACATTCCTAAGTACATACAATGTCATTAATTCTCTGTACAAGAACCAAACAGATGGGCATGCTGCTCAGACCACACTGGTGAGAACATGCTCAGTAGACCATGCTCATCTGACCAGACCATGATGGCCAGACCATGCTCAACAGACCACACTGCTCAGACCACGCTGGTCAGACCAAGCTCATCTGACCATGCTGGTCAGGCCACGCTGGTGTGACCAGAGTGGTGTGGTCAGACCAGTATGGTGTGACCAGAGTGGTCAAACGAGCATGGTCAGACCATGCCTGTCTGATCAGACCATGCTGGTCAGACCATGCTCAGCAAACCAAGCTGGTCAGACCATGCTCGTTTGACCACTCTGGTCACACCATACTGGTCAGACCATGTTCATCTGACCATGGTGGTCAGACCATGCTCAGCAGACCAAGCTGGTCAGACCATGCTTGTTTGACCACTCTGTCAGACCACGCTGATCAGACCACGCTCATTTGACTGCGCTGCTCAGACCATGGTTGTCTGACCAGACCACACTGGTCAGACCACACTTGTCTGACCACACCACACTGGTCAGACCACGCTCACTTGACCGTGCTGCTCAGACCACACTTGTCTGACCACACCACGCTGCTCAGACCATGCTTGTCTGACCAGACCACGCTGCTCAGACCATGCTTGTCTGACCACACCACGCTGGTCAGACCATGCTTGTCTGACCACACCACGCTGGTCAGACCACGCTCGCCTGACCACACCACACTGCTCAGACCACGCTCGCCTGACCACACCACGCTCAGCAGCTACCTCGGGCAGGATGCGGCCCCCGGGCATGCTGGAGGGCGGCCCCCCGATGAGCGACACGACGCCGTTGCAGTCCACGGTGCTGTTCCTCTTGATGCTGCGGCGCAGCGTGGGGAAGATGCGCGAGGAGCGGCTGCCCTGGCTGTAGCCGCTGTAGCCGCTGTAGCTGCTGCGCCGGTCGCGGCCGCGGATGGGGATGAAGAGCGAGTCCCTCCTGCCCTCGCTCTCCTCCACCGTGCTGTGCTCGTCGTCGGCGAACTCGTTCTCCGAGGCCGGGTCGCGGAAGCGCCCCTTGTAGCTGAAGATGCTGCTCTTGCTGTTGTGGCGGGACAGGAAAGGGGAGCCCGGGATGCTGAGGAGAGACTGGGGGAGGAGGGCAAGGACACGGTGAGTGGAAGGTGGAAGGATTATTATTTAAGGTGGGAAATTATTATTTAAGGTGGGAATTATTATTGAAGGTGGGAATTGTTATTTTGGGTGGAAAAATTATAAAGAAAGGTCTCTCAAAATCAGGACTTCTCTCTCTGATTTTAGAAGCCCTTTCTCCTTTCTTTTAGAAGCCATTTCTCCTTTCTTTTAGAAGCCATTTCTCCTTTCTTTTAGAAGCCATTTCTCCTTTCTTTTAGAAGCCATTTCTCCTTTCTTTTAGAAGCCATTTCTCCTTTCTTTAGAAGCCATTTCTTCTAAGCCCAGCTGGCATTCTGCAGGTGCCATGTGAGAGCAATGAGCTGTGAGCAGTTTGTTAACAAAGCCAATCTATTCCCGGGTCACCAACAACTGGCACCTGGATAACCTGAGATACAAACTGCACTGCTGCACTTCACTCTGCACTGTTCATTAGAAAAACGAAAATGATCTCTCCCAAACAACCTTCCCTGCACGTACACAGCGAGGGTTGGGGTGACCAACCCATGCAGCCTAACAACTTTAATTAACCAGGAACTAATTGGCAAGGAGCTACTGACCAACTGGAGTCCCAATGAGGTCTGTAAAACTGTATAAAAACTGAGTTACTGAATAAAAAAGAGCTTTTTCCACCATGAAGAAAAGGGAATCCCATATGCTTTACCTCACAGTGAGGAGGATGGGCACAAAACCCTGCTGGGTGGTTTCCTACAATCACTCAATGGCTTGGTTTGGTTTGAGAGGGACTTTCAAGATTGTCCTGACCATTGTGGGGGTGGAAGCACTGCCTCAAACTGCTCCAAGCCCTGTCCAACCTGCCCTTGGACACTTCCAGGCATGGGGCAGCCACAGCTTCTCTGGGCAACCTGTGCCAGGGCCTCCCCACCCTCATGAGGGGAATTTCTTCCCAGTATCCCATCCAGCCCTGTCCTGTGCACTGGGAGGCCATTGCCCCTTGTCCTGGCACTCCAGGTGCTTGTAAATGGTCTTTGTTCATCTGTTCCCCCCCTCTCCAGGCCTGCACAGACCATCACCCCTCACTCCTGGCTGGTTGAGCTGCCTCAGTGCAGGAGTTACCTGGCTGGATTCCTCAGGAACAATTCCTGCCAAGGGAAGTGTGTGAGAGAGTCATCAGCTCGGGCTCTAAGTGTTCTCCTGACCCAACACAGTTTAGGACAGTGGGGAGAACCCTTGAGATGCCAACAGGAATCTAAAGCAGAATATTATCCTGACCTCAGCCACAAACATTAGTGAAGGAACAGAAAACTACCTGGTTCATGATGGAAAACTTCCTTCCCAGCCTGTTATCTGGCAGCCTGAACGCTTTCCTCCTCATGCCATCCTCAGATTCTGACTTGAACACCTTCTCATTGTCACACTTCTCATCTCCTTCCGACAGCTCCTTGTCCTTCCTCTTCTTCCTCCTGTTCCGACGCTCCTTGGCACTCTTGGAACTGAGCTTGGAAATCTCTGAGGAGCTCCGAGACATCCTCCCCCCACCATCATCCTCCACAGCATCTTCAGACACCGTCCCTGCCGAGGTGACCATGGCAGCAGCCTGAGGGTGCAGGCAAGGAAAGGAGAAATAAATCACATCTTTCCACTCCATTTTCTGCTCAAAGAGTTTGGCTTCATTCACCTGAGCAAGAGACTTTGGGGCAGGACTGAGAGGTTTATTCTCTCCTTGGAAGAAACTTGCAGCCAGAATTTGGTAGAATTTTTACAGTCTGCTTGTGCAGGTAGTAAAATCAGCTTCTCTAGCAACCTGGGCCAGGGTCTCACCACCCTTACAGAGAGGAATTGGTTTTTTTCTCACCTGTGCTTCTTCCTGCTGCTTTTTCAGCTGTTCCAACATGGCCTTGAATTCTGCCTCCTTCTGCTCTGCCTCCTCCAGGGTTGCCTGGTTCTGCTCCTCGTAGGCCATGGCCACCACAGCCAAAATCAGATTCACCAGGTAGAAGGATCCCACAAAGATCACCAGCACAAAGAAGATCATGTAGGTTTTTCCTGCCGCTCGTAAAGTCTGGAAGTGGAAAAGAATGGCAGAGGGATTAGAAAAGGGAAAAAAAAGCAACTTCAGGCTTCCCTGACATGAGATGCAAGAGCTGATCCCAAGCTTCTTGACCTGAATGTTTCTAAGAAAATCCAGCAGTGCTGAATATTCCAGAGCTCAGCGTTTTCCCTGCACATTCCTTAGCCATGAACACAAAAGGTGACATCCACCTTCTTCCCTTAAGGGAGCATCCAAAATGAAAAGAATTCAGAGGCACAGAGTGAAACCCAATGCTCAGACTCCCTTAAAACAAACCAAATCAAGAAACAGCTGCTTCAGCAAGGTCCCCAAAGCATCCTCAAGTCAGGAGAAAACTCTGTGCCCTCCAAAGAGCCTGAGCACCCTGCGTGAGCAGAGCTGAATGCTCACAGCCTCCTGCAGCCAGGGCTAAGGCTCCTCCTGAATTAATTCACAGCTCAGCTGGACCCACCATCCCTTCTGGACTTGAAGAGAGGCAATGTCCCCTTCCTCCCCCCAAAAAACCTCCCTGTGAAGCTTTACTTGCACTCTTTTGGAGAGAAGGACTAAAACAAAGCTTCTCTTTTCCCTTTCCTGTTTTACTCCCAAATTCTCCCCAAGTAAAACACCAAAGGAAAGAGTTTACTTACTAATTGATACAAGTTTTCCCAAAAGTCCTGAGTCATAAGGCGAAACAAAGCCAGGAAAGCCCAGCTGAAGGTGTCGAAGCTCGTGTAGCCGTAGTTGGGGTTCCGTCCTGCCTTCATGCACGTGTACCCCTCTGGACATTGGCTGGGGAGGGACAAGAGCCAGGTCAGGGCTCTCCCTGCCCACTGCCACCACCCTCCCAACAAACAGCAGCTCTTTCCACATCGTTTAAGGACAGCACACAAGGAGGCAGGATTTCAGGCAAGCCCTGCTCTCCCTGTCCTGTGGAAATGAGACGCTGCATTTTCCCTAAGCCTGAGCCCAAGGCAGGAGCTTGGGCCAGAAGGGTCTTCAGAGCTGAAGGTCGGGGTGGAAAACCAACAGCACATGGCAAGTTCACATTTCTGAGCCCCCATCCACCCTTCTCTGATTGGATTCAGAGGGAAATAATGTCACTGGCAACCATTGGTGGCCAGAGCTGCCTCCTGACAGGGAAAACGTCCCTTACATTGCATCAGCAATGGATTCATAATTAGGTTAAGACATTTGAAACCTGGTGAAATAACACCAGAACCAACAGAGGAAGCAACAGGGAACATTCCAGAGGTTTTGCCAGCTTTAGGTAACATCAGGGATAACTGATTAACTGTTAATGAAGCTCAACACTCACCCTGCATCTGAGCTGTTACCACAGAGCAAAGGGTCGGGGGCACCAGGAATGATGTAAAAATTTGCTGAAGATGAAAAAGAAGAGGTTACATTCACACACATATGGAGTTAGAGAATTTAATAGACTATAACGCATTAAAACCTTCACTTAAAAGCCTCCTAAAAGCACTGCTGAGAAATTTATCAGTAAAAAATATATTTTGGACTAATTATTTAGCCAAAAGAGCACATCCAAACACTTCTAAAGGATGAACTCAACTAGAAACATCTCAACAAGGTCAGATCAAAAAAAAAGCCCTGAAAAACTTCTGCACATGTGGTTTTCACTGTGAAAACCAGACACACCACAGCATGAAACATGCTGGAACTCCTGCATCGAGCCAAGTCAGGAGGTTTTAGGGAGCCTCAGTGTAGAAATACCTACACATATTGTTGGTGTATTCCTCCCAGTCGAAGCCCCTGGAGCCATTATCCAGGAAGGTCTCGTTCACATTAATTGGCCAAATCACACACTTGTTCCTTAAATTGCCCATGAACAGCTGGAGCCCAATGAGGGCAAAGACACTGAGACAGAAAACTGTCAGGATCATCACATCCGACAGCTTCTTCACTGACTGGATCAGGGCACCCACGATGGTCTTCAAGCCTGTGGAGAAGGAAACAAGACTAGAAATCACTCCTGTAGAAGGAAAACACTGCAAATCCAGATTAATTCAGTACCTTAGAGTGACTCTGTGGTGGGAAAGGTTGTGGCTATGAATGGTGGAGGCTCCTGGGAACAAGCGTGTGTGGTCAGGATTTCCAGCCAGTACAACACTGGGATGGAGGCAAGGATGGGTCAGAACAAACCACATCCCAACTTTTGTCCCTGAGCCTCAGGGACAGCAGAACGTGGGGAATCACTCCTCCCCCACGCACAAGGTTTGTCAAATGAAGATCAAATTGGGATTTGCTGCCACGAAAATCCTCATGGACACGTTGAGCCATGTTCGAGCTGAGCTTGCTGGCACGGGCTGCAACAACTCACAGAGATCAAATACCTTTAACTCTCCACGTCTTGGGTTTTCTCCTGCTCAACTGAACTGCCTCAGCACTTCCCCTCCCTTGCAGGAGCAGAATCTCCCCTTTCAGAGGTGGCTTTGGTTACAGCCAGGGCAGGGCTTCACCCACAGCATCGGTGCTTTGGGATTTACTGAGGCCACTGGGATCATTAACAGGCTCAGGATCAAAAAGAAGACATTCCAAAAGGAATCCTGCTGGTTTCCCACACCAGTCTGGTCCGTGAGAGGCAAAACTCGTGAGTGGGGAGAACTCAGAATTAATTTTTATGTGATGGGTCTAAACTAGCTAGAATTTTGGATGCAGAAACAGCACTGAATTAGGCTCCTTTAGTCACCCCTTCTGGTGTGAAGTAGGATGATTCTGTGGTTTATAAATGAGCAGTGAAGGGAGGAAGGAGAAAAAAAATAATAAATCACTGCTGGATTTGGGGTCAGTCAGATCCAAGGGTCCAGCTGAGACCACATGAGCATTTTGCAATAAATCCTGGACCAGAAACCTTGGTCCCTTCCAACCTCCTCCTACAAAACCCCTGTAAGCCAACAGAGGTTAGAGCCATCCCAGGAACATAAAGCTTCCAAAACAAACAGTTGCAGACACATTCCTTATAAAAATTCTATTTTGAAGTGTCATTTATCCCCATCATCCAAACTTTCCATGGACTTTCCAGCACAGAGCAGGATTTTGCTGTTGTGGCAGACACATCACCCCCAGCACCTCTTGCCATGCTCATCCCACGGCTCTGCTCTGCACATGCACCCACGGGCATCAGCACCTGGGCTCCTGCTTTTGGATGCTGCTCTCCCTCAGGTGTGCCAGGAGAAGTTTGGAACCAGGACAGGACTGGCAGCAGGAGAGATCCCAGCCCAAGGACTGGGAACACTTCAACAAACACAACTCCAACAACTTCCAGCTGCAGCCACCACCCCGTGCTCCACGGGTCCAGGTTTCCCTGGATCCTGTGGCATGCAGGTGTGACTCAGGTGTGTCCCCACGTGGCAATTAAAATAGAAGAACTCAGGTGCCAATATGGAAAATTTCTTGAGACCATCACGGTTTCATATAGGTTTTCCACCAAAAAAAAAAGGATCTTTTGGTGGTTTAGCTCATGGGTGTCACAGTTTGCTCCTGTCACACAGATCCACAGAGAGCACAGAATTTTGTCCATGGCATGTCAAATTCTGGTGGTATTTCCCATTTTTATCTTGTCTCAAACACATCTTAATTCCACTTATTGACAGAAGGCGTAGATGGCACTCAAAACACTAAAATGAGCTTCTCAGTAGCTCAGCACAGAGTTAAAATTCCCATTCCACGTGCTGAAGCAGAAAGGGAGCCCCTTTACATTTTAATATTGAGTGTATTCTAAAAATCACCTTTTCCTTGCAAAATGATAGTGGTAAAACCCATAAAGAACACTTTATGTCTTTAAATTAAATAACCCAAAAGGCCAATTATTCAAATGCTTTAGACTCCTCCTGCTGTCACAAAATGGAGGGGGCCAAGATGTGTGCTGCAGAAACACACTTGGACAATCCTCCCCCAAAACCCCAAAGTTTTTGCCATTTCAGGTACGATCAGTGTCCCCAACACCCAAACAGGATCCCCTTGGCTATGTGTGGCAAATCATCCCTTTTATTCAATCAAAATATGCAGCAAATTGTCCCTCTAATAAAAATTACATCAAAAATGTGCTGAACTTAGCAGGGCTCAGCCCAACCCCTGCCATTTGAAGTAAAACTCCGTAAGTTTTGAATTCTATGGAGAGAATGATCCAAAACTGAGCTGTTCTGTCCCCTCCATGGGAACACAAGGCATGCTGTCACACAGCCAGCAACCAGCTCCTGAAAGCTGCATCATCTCCACGTTGCTACAATTAAGAAAGCAAAACACAGGCAAAACTGGTTTGAACATCAATGCTTCTCCTCTGAGCTCCCTGGAGCAGGCTGAGAGAACGACAACCACCCCTCAGGCCCACTGCTGACAGCAATTCCCAAAGGTTTTTTGCTCTTAAATATCACCAGACAGGAAGGAAGGCTCAGTAGGAACATCACTCCAGCAGGTTCTCACTGGGTGCAAGGAAAGCAGGTGCCACACAGGAGCATCATCATCACCACCACCACCATCATCATCATCGTCATGCACAACAGGCAGGTACAGCTGATGGGGTTGGCAGTCTGGGGTGGGACAAAAGGGATGTGTCCTACAACTGCACAGGCTGGTCCCTGGCAGCCTGAGAAAGAAGCAGGGAATGCAGGAGGGAACAAACCACAAAGGCACTGAGGCCAAAACTCATCGAGGAGTTATTCTGGGTAACAGGTAGAGCACCTGGAAACCAAAAAGCTGAAGATGTCTGAGTGCCTGTAAGACCTGAGGCCTGAGCTTAACCTCAGAATTGGGGGCACTTTTGAGAAACCACGTGCACGAAGCTTTTCTGGACAAGAATTCAGGATCAGGAAGTGTTCCAGGCCAGGCTGGACAGAGCTGGGATTAAACTGGTCTGGTGGAAGGTGTTCCTGCCCATGGCAGGAGGTAGAACAAGATGAGCTTTAAGGTCCTTCCCAAGCCAAACCAGACTGGAATTCTGGGATTCTCAGTCCATAATGTCTCCATGGTGTCCCAAAGGAAGGGCCACTGCTCACCCTGTGACACCCAGCTGAGTTACAAGTCCAGAAGCAGCTTTGGGAAGGGTGGTCCTGACAAGCCCAGCTCTGGGGTGGCACAGGAAATGGGCAAAAAGGTTTTAATCTTGGTTGGGTTTTGCTCTGTTGCTTTATAAAATGATTCCTAGAGCAACTTCAAAACCACTGACAACAACAGGGCGAGTCCCTGAGCCAGAAACTGTTCAGCCTGAGGAGGAGCCTGATCCTTTTCATTTGGAGTTAAACTTTAAAGCCTGGCTTTAGTCTCAGAGATCAGTATGAAATGTTCATACAAAGACAGAAAAATATGGAGTAACAGCCTGTTCATCCCATAATTTGATGGCCCGGGAGCCTTGATTTCAAACTGCTTTGTTACACAGACTGCAAATCCCATGGAAAAAATCCCAGTGCCATTTCTGAGGAACGAGCAGTGCAGGAGGGGAGGGGAGATACAGAGAGGAGACACACACAAGCCCAGCCTTTAATGCTGAATGGTTCTCACCTGGAATTACAGAGATAGTTTTCAAAGCTCGGAGAACTCTGAAAGTTCTCAATGCTGAGACATTCCCAAGGTCCACAAACTCTGTGACATATCTGCAATGAGGGAGGTCACACACAAAAAACACCATGACAATACACACACCAAAATAAAACAACAACTACAGACAAAGCAATACATCACTCACAGGGGCCTGTACCCGACAGCTAAACACCAACCGGGGCCGCCTTACCTGGAATTACAGAAATAGTTTTCAAAGCTCTCAGAACCCTGAAAGTGCGCAGAGCTGAAACATTGCCTAGGTTTACAAACTCTGTTATATACCTGCAGAATTAAACCAGAGTTAATGGCACCGTTGGGGTCACCTTCCTTTGCATAAATTGTCTGCTTGTAGGAAACAGCTTGTGATTTAAAACGCTTCAGAACTGGCATTGAAAAGAGAGAGAGAGACAAAGGTGCAGGGGTAAAATGTGGTTTAAGTCTCTCTGCTCCTCAAGCAGCTTGCCCAGGTACATGGTTGGATACCCATCCTCAGCTGGAATCATGGAATGTCCTGAGCTGGGAGGGACCCCAAAGATCATCCAGTGCAGCTCCTGGCCCTGCACAGACACCCCAACAATCCCACCCTGGGCATCCCTGGCAGCAGCTCCTGGAGCTCTGGCAGCCTCGGGGCTGTGCCCATCCCCTGGGGAGCCTGGGCACTGCCTGAACCCCCTTGCAGAAGAATCTTTTCCTGATTTCCCTCCCCTGGCAGAGCTGCAGTGGCTCCCTCGTGTCCTGCCCCTGGTCAGAGGGAGCAGAGCTCAGAGCTGCCCCTCGGGATGAAGCTGCAGCCCCCAGTGAGTCTCCCCTCAGGCTCTTCTCCAGCTGAACAGACCCAGAGCCCTCTCCCATCCCCCAGACCCTGCTTTGGACCCTCTCCAACAGCTTCAGATCTCTTTCATGTCATGGTGCCCCAAACTTCACACACTCTTAGAGAGAATTTGGAACTTTGAATCTCTGCAGAAGAAAGCAATTGTAAAAATGCCAAATATTTGAGGAGATTTGGTGACACCACCCTGAGCAACCTGGGCTAGTGGGAAATGTCCCTGCCCATGGCAGGGGATGGGACTGGATGAGCTTTAAGGTCCCTCCCAATCCAAACCAATCCATGATTCCATGACTGTACCTCAGATCAGGGGTTTCAGGTATATTCGCTTCACTTCATGTTTTTAAGAAAACATAATCATCTTCTGCTTTGATTAACATCCTTCCGTTTAATTAGCATCCTTCATTTTAATTAGCATCCTCCATTTTTAATCCTTTATGCTTCAATGTCTGTTTGTGAGCCACAGAAGGTTTGATTTTCTTTTTGCAAGCAGATAAACCCAAGGTGCACAGGGGAGAAGAGGCTTAGTGCAAAGTAACAGGGTTATATTTTACCCCAGCTTAGAGAATATTTCCTCTGTGCTGCCTGGGGAGAAACTTGGTATGAAAAAGCAAAGAAATGCTCAACATTCAAGATTTTTACTGCTGCAGAAAGGCCTCAAGGGCTTTAAAAAACTCTTAGTGTGGTTTAAATAATGCCCTTGACACAAAAAGAATTGTACGGAGCCTACAGGCAAAGCCTGGCCTCTGGAAAGGAAAGGGTTACAGACACCAGTGAGGGACTGGGGACATTCCTTGCAAACCAGTGCCTTAAAACTGGTGAGATCTGATAATTTCTGGAGAAATTAAGGGATGGATAAGTGCCAGGTGGGATTTGGTCTGCGTGCACCCACGCTGGGAGTTCACACTGGGCACAGCACATCCCCACCTGCTCTGGAGCAAAACTCAGGTGCTGGCAGCTCCTGGGTGCTGGTTTTCATGGACAACACTCAATTCTTTGTACACCATTTAAACAAACAACTGAGAGGTAGAAAAATGCAAAAAACTCAGGAAACGGAACAATCTTGGGTGAAGAAAAATACGATTGAAGTGTTTTACTTCAAGTGCTCTGAAGCCTTGGAATGCAGCTCCTGAGCCTTCCTCTGATCTCTGCTCCATCAGACTTTGGTGAACATGGCAGCCCAAGCATGCCACAGGCAATGCTCCAAAAATAAAGTGTGAAAGGGCAAAAATATTTCTTCACCAGCAGCTCGGAGTACCAGTGACAAAGACCAGGTGTCCATCAGCAGGACTAAGTCTGAGCCAGGATCAGCTCAGGGCAAAAAAAAAATGGAAAATATGGAAAAAACCAGGAATTTAGGGTGTGTTTCCTGATGTGACTCAGACATGGCCATGATCCTCAGTATCAGCCCAATCCAACACAAGAGAAAAAAACAAGGAAGGAAAACCAAATGTCTCCTTTCTGACACTGCAGCTTCATGGGAAATGGGTTCAAATGGCTTATTAACAGGTTGTTAATGGGTTATTAATGGGTTAATCACAGTCCAGCCTCCAGTCACAGCCCACGGAAGGAGTGGTAGAGACTGGAATTTCAAGATATTGGTCCCTATGCTGATCTGCCCCTCTGGTGCATGAATCACCTAAAACTTTGTATTAATCAAGGCAATTTTCAGAAAATCCTATTTTTTTTCGGCAGTTTTCAGAAAATCCTTTTTTTTTGGCAATTTTCAGAAAATCCTATTTTTTATTTTTGCAGTAGCAACTCCACTAACTCCATGCTGTTGCAGTTTAGAGCTGAAATCTCATCAGGCTAAAAATTTCCTTGGAAAAATCAAGGGGGTTCATTGAAGATTTCCTTGATCTTCTTTTTCCTTATAAAGCTTCCCTCTTGCTGAGGCCTCGTCCCCTCCCAGGCACAGAAATCCCTGGAAAAGCACAACTTACGCCATCATGATGACACTGAAATCCAGCCAGTTCCAGGGATCCCTCAGGAAGGTGAAGCCATCTATACAGAAACCTCTGGCAATGATTTTCACCAGTGATTCAAACGTATAAATCCCGGTGAATGTGTACCTGCCACGAGGAAATGTCGTTTTAGTAGTGAAAAAAGGTGAATTGGAGGCTTTGGTTTAAATAAAAGGCTCCAAAAAAAAAAAAAAAAACCAAAAAAAAAAAAAAAACCACAAAAAAACCCACAAAAAAGCCAAACCACCACAAAAACAAACAAAAAAATCCCACCAAAAAAAACCAACCTAAGAAACCCCCCCCAAAAAAAACCCCAAAAAATCCAAAACCCAAAGCAAACAAAAAAACCCCACAAAAAAACCTAACCACCACCAAAAAAAACCCAAAAAAACACCCAACCAAACAAAAAAAAAATCCCACAACCCCTCCCAAAAAAAACCAAAAAAAACCAACCTAAGAAACCCCCCCCAAAAAAAACCCCAAAAAATCCAAAACCCAAAGCAAACAAAAAAACCCCACAAAAAAACCTACCCACCACCAAAAAAAACCAAAAAAAACCAACCAAACAAAAAAAAATCCCACAACCCCTCCCAAAAAAAAACAAAACAAAAAACACAAAAAAACCCCCAAAAATCCAAAACCCAAACCAAACAAAAAAATAAAAAAAAAAACACAAAAAACCCACAAAAAAGCCAAACCACCACAAAAACAAAAACAAATCCCACCAAAAAACACAAAAAAACCCCAAACAAAAAACCCCACCAAAAAACAACAAAAAACGCCAAAAAACAAGAAAACCCCCCCCAAAATTCCCCCCAAAATACAAAACCCAAAGCAAACAAAAAAAAAAACCACCCACAAAAAAACCTAACCACCACAAAAAACAAAAAAACCCAACCAAACAAAAAAAAAATCCCACAAACCCTCCCCCCCAAAAAAACCAAAAAAAAACAACCCCAGAAAAAAAACCCAAACCAAACAAAAAAATTAAAAAAAAAACACAAAAACCCACAAAAAAGCCAAACCACCACAAAAACAAAAACAAATCCCACCAAAAAACACAAAAAAACCCCAAACAAAAAAAACACCAAAAAACAACAAAAAACGCCAAAAAACAAGAAAACCCCCCCAAAAATTCCCCCCAAAATACAAAACCCAAAGCAAACAAAAAAAAAAACCACCCACAAAAAAACCTAACCACCACAAAAAACAAAAAAACCCAACCAAACAAAAAAAAAATCCCACAAACCCTCCCCCCCAAAAAAACCAAAAAAAAACAACCCCAGAAAAAAAAAAAGGGAGGAAGAGGGGGCTGAAGGGAACCAACTCAGCATTCTGGGAGGTTCCTACAAACACAACGTTTGCTACTCCGCTGCACCAACTCCTACTTACTCCACATTCTTGGACCACTCCGGCGGGTTACTAAAAGTCATGAACACACAGTTGGTCAGAATAGTGCACATGATGATCATGCTAAACACTGTGGGCCAAGTCAAGGAGCACAGGGACACGCGGGGACGCCTGACAGCCCCAGATCCCAAATCCCCGGCTGCAGGAAAACCCAAGCACCTCCAGGCTGCTCTGGGGGCTGCTAATACTGCCCAGCAGTCGTGGGAAATCAGGTTATTTCTGCTTTGAATGTGTTGTGCTATATACAGTGTCTGTATGCTGGATGCACTGGGTTATAAATAATATTTATATATATATATATACATACATATATAAAAATTTATTACTAATATTCATTATTATTAAAATAATATATAAATGTATATATATATTTCATATACTGTGTTATATATACTATATGTTATATACACTGCATAATATACAATATTTATATGCTATATAAGTATTTAAAATATTTATCTATTTCAACATATATAATTATAATAATTATATATATTTATATAAATCTATAAATAAATTTATATTTATAATGTATATAGTATATTTATAATGTATAATGTATATAGTATAGTATATACTACAGTATATTTATAATTATATTTATAAATATAGTATATTTATAATTTATAATGTATATAGTATAATATATTAAATATTTATCTATTTAATATATTATACTATAATATATTAAATATATACTATTTATAATATTTAATATATTATACTATATACACAGTGTAAATATAAAGATATATCTATTTATATATATGAATGTATTTATATTTATATACTGTATTATATATACTATATGTTATATACACTGCATAATATACAATATTTATATGCTATATAAATATTTAAAATATCGATATATTTTAATATATAATTATAATAATAATAAATTTATATAAATATATAAATAAATATATTATTTATCTATTTAATATATTATACTATAATATATTAAATATATACTATTTATAATATTTAATATATTATACTATATACAGTGTAAATATAAATATGTAATATCTATTTATATATATGAATATATTTATATTTATATACTGTATTATATATACTATTTATATACTACATAACCATATATATAGTTAGATATATTTTTATATATTTAACTATATAACTATACATGTAATTATATATAGTTATAACTATATATAACACTAATTATAACTATATATATATTTACTATATAACATACATGACTACATAAACAGCATTTTATGTCACATTTTGATGAATTCTCTGTTCTATTTAAATTTAATATACTTTTTAAAGTAGTTTTCTATAAATCAATGTTCTATTTTCTGGTATGTCTCAGCAAGTCAATTGAGAGACTCGATGAAAGCTTGCCCCCAGACCCATCCACTCGCAGCACTGAATCAGGAGCAGAGTGGTGAAACGCAGATATCTGAGTTCCAAACTGATTTCAGGGGACTCAGACAGACCCCGGAGCCCTCAGCAGCACCTCGGGCTCAGCCTGACAGAAATTCTCCCTCGGCTGCACGTGCAGGGGGAGGAAGGGCCACAAGAAACAACTCAGAGCCAAGGAAACATCCCCAGGTCGACTCTGAAAAGATGGAAAAGCTTCTCCTCCATCTCAGATGCAGGAAGGGAGATTACAGAAGCCTCCAAACCATGTGGATGTGTTTCCATTTCAGAGCCATTTTCTAAAAATAAATAAATAACCAGGGTGAAGCAGCTCAGTCAATAAAACACATTATTTTTTCTCCTAATAACACCTCAGATGGTGCTTCCAAAGCTCTGCAGTGGCACATTTTGGAAGAGCTTTGCCATTAGGAAGATGTTTTAGAGATGCCAAAAGAGCAAGAAATTAGACAGTGTCTAATTACAGACAAGGTGGCTGTGGCTTGTTCTCCAGCTAATAAGTCTATTTATTTCCATGTAATATTCTAGTATTTATTTCATTATATTTTCATTCCATTTAACCATTTCCATAGCACTTAAAACCTAACTCTCCTTCACATGAAGCACAAACTCATCCATGTGTGTGAACAGAGAAAATAAAGGAGGATTTCCCTCCATTGGATGTGGCTAAAGAACTGCTTCTTCCTCCAGTGAAAATCTGGATTTTGGGCATATTCTGAGGCCACATCTCCAGCTGCAGAACTGGCACTTACATTTGTGAACTGAGCAAGCAACAACGACATTTTCAACAAATGGAAAATTAGCAAAAGACACCAGCTGAGAGATTTTCAACAAATCCACAAAGGGAACTCAGTAATAAAAAGGATATGAATGTATCAAAATTTTAATAGCTATTCTTCTAAACAGATTAAAAGGACTTAAAATGTACAAGGCAGGTGTGGCACTAAATCGGAAGAGTGTTTTCCCTCTGTTTAGTACTACAAAGGTCTGCAGAGAAAAAAAGAAAGAGAAAGAGAGAGAGAGAGAGTTAATGCAGGAAAATCACAGCAGGAATTGTACAAAGCAGACAAAATTCCCGGGTAAAAACCCAGCATTTTCTGTTGGTTTTTTAAAAAATAATCACCTTTATGAAGCTCCCATTAGGGTACAACACATCTGAACGTCACGGGCATCACCCACCAGGACAGCAGGGGTAATTCTACCCCAAAAATCCATTTAATGTGAGGCCTCAGCCAGGGCAGAAGCCAAACCTCCCAGCCAAGCCCCTCTTTCCCCTCCCACACCCCGTTATTCCCCTCCAAGGATGAGAACCCAGGTGTCCAGAGGCTCGGGAGCAGACCTGGCACAGCCTCCTTCCTGCTGGAATGTGAAATGCAAAGAGCTCTCAGAATTTGGGGCTTGTAAGCTAAAATTTAAAATTAAACACAGGATTTGGAAAAGGCCTTTAAACTTAAGTGTTAAAAATGAGAATGTGGATTTAAAGTAGAGACACATTAAGCTAAATAAAGAAAGTTTGAAGTTTTAGAGTTTAGGATATAGAAAAAAAAATAAAAGTAGTTACAGAAGTAAAGAAGGAGTTTGGAATACAGCACTATAGGTTTGTGTGTTACAACATGATTGGCTAAGAAAGTTTACACTGTAGTATGGGTCTGTAAGATGAAATACTTAAGGATTGGGTCAAAAATATAACTACCTTTGCTAGCAGTGTTTAATTGGTTAATTACTAAAGTCTTTAAAAGGTCTTGTAACTTTCTGAATGATGCTGTAACAATGTGAGCTGAACTCACCCTTCTTAGGTAGAAAATAAAAAAAATAAACTGCATCACTAAAAACGACTCAGAGGTCTTGTCTCAAACTTACTCAAAACTCCCCATAAGTGATTTATCACACTCCCCAGACAACCACAACAAATCCCACAGTTACAAATCCCTGGAAAGACACTGACAGGCAAACAGGACCAAAATGTGGGGGCAGAGTCCCCCAGGCCAGCAGACACAGGTCATCCCCAGCACAGCACTCTCACTGCTTTTCCCTACAGAGCTGCTGAAGATGTGAGGTTCACTCTTCATTAAGAACCCGTGGAATGAATTTCAGCTTCATTTCTTCATTAAGAACCTGTGGAATGCCCCATGTGAGTGTGGAGCAGAATTCTGCTGGTCCATCTCCCTGCAGAGAGCAGCACCAGGAGCACCAGGGGCAAACTGGGTCTGTGGCGCTTCACAGCAGCACAGCCAGAGCAGCCACCATCCCAGCCAGAGGGAAAAATGCAATCTGTGGGCACTGAGAAGCCAAAGCCCTTTCCCTGGCACCTTTTATCCCGTTTTTATCCTCTCCAGGACGGCCCCAAAGCACAGCTGGACTCAGAGCCCAGCCCCAGGGAATCCACCAGGGCTCTCTGCCAGCACAGGCTTCCCCAGGAGACTCACTCTTAGGGAATTTGTCATTTTCCTCGTCAATGAAACAACATGTTTGAGCTCGTTTGGTTAAATTAGACCATTGAGCAGTAAATTATTTGCAAAGGAAATCAAAATCAGATTGTGGTTCAGCACAAAGAGAGGAAGGTTCGTTAGCAGAACCACTAATGCGTCCCCACCAGAAGCACTTTAAAGACAGTCCTGGACAGCTCTTAAATTGCAGCATCAAGAATTAATGACCAATTCACCTTGGCATGGACAAACCTCCTAAAAGGCCCAAAGTTTTGCAAAATTGCCATTACAGAGTGCTCAGGGGACACCCAATTCTAGGAATCAGCTCTCCCCCCGTCCCTGACACCACAAACTTTCCAGGACTCACATCCCCTTCCTTTTTAAATCTCTTTTAAAAGGATCTCCCAACTCTCCCACATCTTTTGAGCAATGAACCCTCCAGAAATACCATGCTGGATATTACATGGGACAAGGGGAGCTGGAAGGAGACAGGAACTTCCCAAACCCCACTCAGAAATTCTGAGAGGTGGCTCAGTCCCACTGTGTCTCCATTTCCCATGGGAAAAATCCCCCAGGCAGTGGCCTGTGGCTCACTCAGCCAAAATCAGCAAGGCAGGAGTAAAGCCATCCTTCCCCTGGAGACACAGGAATGTGTGTGCGGCTTCTTGGAGGTGGAAGAACCCAAAACTCAGCTGGGGCGGGTGGATGGGAACTGCCCCACACGAGGGTGGGAGCCCTTGGTGGGATCCCATGGAACACCCACTTTCACAAGGACTGATGCAGGAATTTGGCACTGCCTGCTGTGAAACCACAGAATCCCCAAATCCCTGAGGCTGAAAAAGTTCTCCAAGACCACTGAGTGCAGCTTGTGACCAATGACCCAGCCCAGAGTGCTGAGTGCCCAGACATTCCTCGGACCTCTCCAGGGATGGGGACTCCAAACCTCCCCGGGCAGCCCCTCCAAGGCCTGACCACCCTTCCCATGAAGAAATCTAAGTTTTCATCCCACTGCCCACCAGACATGAACTCCATGTTCTTCTTGCTCAGTTCCTCACCTGTTATGTGACTGTACCCAAGGCAGTTCCTTGTTTTCCCCCTGTGCTCGGCCCAGATTTCTCCTTTTAGACCACAAAACCTGTTGAATTGTTCTGCCTGTAAAGCCCATCATCCCCGGGCCTTTCAGCACAGCCCTCACAGCAGTGAGGTGTCAGAATTCCAGTCTGCTCATGGATTATGACAGTTCTGAGATCCACCATTCCCCCGTGTACCCTCTAAAATCCTGAGTAAATCTCTACTTGGTCTTGTCAATAGGAAGGAAAGCCCAAAAGCCAAGAAGTGTTTGGCAATTTAAACCCTCTTTTAGTTCTCCATTCTGCTGCTGACATATTAAAACTCCATTTCAAAATGGCTGCAAGCTCTTAAAACATTTTCTGGATCTGGGCCAAGAACATCCTTAAGAGCTTTTAAGATGTGCTGAAGCAAAGCTCAAAACTCAGAGGAAGGTGATACCTGGAAAAAGGTATTTTGCAGTCAGTTTAAGAGATGGTTTTGTCTGCTTGGACTTCCCAAAGCCTCCCTTTGTTAGAGCTGTGAAAAAACTCCATCCTCTTTAGTTTCCATCAAGTTCATCAGGACTCACCAAAACCTTCTTCATAAAGGAAGGTTTCATAAAAATCAATCTGCAAAAATGATGACTGAGAGCAACAGAAGCAACTGGGGGATGGCAAGAATCGTTCCAGCTCCATCAAGATTTAAAACATTCCTGCTTCCTGCAGGCTTGCCACTGAGCAGTTCTGCAATGGCTGAGGAGGGAGGGGGAGTGGGCAGGAGATTTCAGAAGCAAACAGCTTTAGGAACAGCCTCAGAACATATGGGAGCACACTCCTGCAGCAGTGACACGGCGTGGAGCAGGGGAGACTTCCTGGTGACACCCTGAGCGAGCCACTGGGGCTGCTGGAAAAGGAATTGACAGCAAACTCAGGCACCCTGTGGGCTGCAGAATTACAGACACAATCAGCCCTGAGAGCAGCCCTGGGGAGAAGGGTTTGAGGTGCCTCAGGAAGCCCCTGAGCCTGGGCTGAGCCCCAGCAGGGCAGGGGGGATGACCCTGCCTGCAGAGCTGCCCTGGCAGGATGTGGAGCTGCTGGAGAGAGCTCCTAATTTTTAAGTTTTATTGACCTCACAATCTGTCTGTGCAAGGAAATCCACTCTGCCTCTGTGCCAGAAATAATTCTCCACCTTTTCCCCCATCACGAGTGGGCTGCAGTTGTTCAGGAGATGGGAGCAGATTCCACACTTGGCATTCCCAGCTCTGCATGCCTGGATCCACAGCACCAACAGCTCCATCACACTCTGCCTTCCCTCCAACACCTGGAGAGGACTGCAGAACACGACTGCCAGGGAATCCAATCTCTTTTCCTCACTCTTTCCCTTCCACACTCATTTTTCCTGCTCCTTTGAAGCCAACTGGTGAGACAGAGTGCAAGAAAAAACACCATTAAGCACTCAAGGCCTGGGAAAGGCAACGAGACACTGGAAATAAGAATAAAAATCTGATTTTTGGGATGGTTCTGACTCTTTCCTCTGTTTTGGTGGCTTCGCTGAAATGCAAACCCAGGAATGGTGTCGTGACCTTGCAGAGTCACCACGGGCCAAGGCTCCTGAGGCACATCCCAGAGCCAGATGTCCCTCACATCCCTGTGATTTTCCTGGGCCAAGGTGACATTCTGGACCCACAGGGCCCGTTTCCAAACCTGGCATGTGACTTGACAAAGCTGCAAGTCACTCCCTTGGCACGAAGGCTCCGGAGAGATCCTCAGGTGCTTCTGTGGCATCGTGGGTGACCTCGGAGCAGCCCAGCCTCAGACCTCACGTGTGTGTGGACAGGCTTCCTTTTCCCACTGAAATCCATCCACCCAAACTTATCCTCAGCTCACAGAATGTCCAGGGACCTTCTGCTGCCTTTGCAGAAGCAGGAGCACCTTCACCTCATCCTGCAGCAGGGACGGAATTTGAGGGAGTTGGAAATGGAAGGTGCTCGAGGAGCAAGGCCCCAGCCTGGCAAACACCACGTGCAGAGGGAAAATCAGAGGGAAAGGAGGTGTAGAAGATGGGAAAACATCCAAAATGGAAATCCTGGCTGTAGGAATGAAAGTGGAAGATGTCCCTGATGTCTTAATAAACACTGAAGGATTTAAGGCCATGAGGCTGCTCTGCTCCCAAGGCTGGGGCTGCTCACACAGGGTTTTTCCTGAATTTTCTTTGCACATGTGAACAAAGAAGTTCATGTACCTGTCTTCTGGATATATTAATTGATAAATTAATATATTAATTGATATATTAAACCCAAATTGGTTTGGGTTTCCATAATAAAAATGGGTAACTATTGCTCCTACCCTGTGCTTCAGGCCAGGAACTGGAAGGCCATTACACATTGTAAAACAAGAAATCATGAAAAAATTATTTCTGGTCCTTACACAGAGACAAAAAGGAGCTAAAGCTGCTCCCAAACCTGCTGCCTGTGAGCAAAGGGATTCCAGATTCTCCTCAGAGTAATAATTTACCCCTCACTTCAAGACACTCGGGGGATAGAGTGTGCCCAGAGCTGGGAACAAGCTGAACTTCATCCTGGAGCTCTTTTCCAGCTTCAAGGATTCTGGGATTCTCTGACTCCCATATTGCAAAATGAAACTGAGCAGAGGAAAGAGCAGCACCTTGCACAAAACCATTGCTGGGCTACAAACCCAGGACTTGTGACTCCCTGTGCCACGGTTCTGTTTCCAGGTCACACTGTTTCTCCTCTAAATATCAGTTTACAGGTCTGCTGGGCTACAAACCCAGGACTTGTGCCACGGTTCTGTTTCCAGGTCACACTGTTTCTCCTCTAAATATCAGTTTACAGGTGCTGGGAGGTTCAGCTGCTCTGTTAAAATGCAGTTTCTGTTTCCTTAGACAAACCAAGATCACTGTGTCCTCCTGCAGGGAAAAGCAACCAGCTGATTTGTCCCTGTGCACGCTGCAAAAGCAAAGACCTGTGATGCAAAGCCTTCTGGAGAGGGAGGGGGGAAAAAAAAATCTTGGAAAACTTCCCGTGATTCAAGCAGATTCGTAATTCCTGATGATTCAGAGAAGGGCCTTTTTTAATGGCCTTAAAAAAAAAATTCTTTGTGGAAAGTCACTGAGTATTGGAAGCAGCAAGGAGCACTAAGGCAAGGCCATGCTGAGATGGACACGACAGGAGGGAGCAGAGGATTCAGGGCTTGTGGGGAGAGCCAGACCCTGCTCGAGCTCAGCAGGGCTGGGGGGCTTTGCTCCCATCTCCAGAACCTTCCCTGCATCTCAGCCTGCCAAGGATTCCACACGGCGCTCCCAGAGATGTGACAGATGCCTTCAGAGAGGGGAATGCAGCTCATTTCTTCCTCTAAAAATGAAAGGTTTATTAATAGCCTTGTGTTGGGAGGCAAACGTGGAGACGGATGCAGCAGGAGGGATAACGGGGTTCCCGTTTGTGCCTCCTCTTTGGGCTGGAACGTTGGGAACCACGGAGCTCTGCCCACTGCCCCTTCAGCACTGCCCCCTCCTTCAGCCAGAAAAAACCATGAATCAGCCCAATTCTCCCACTGACACCGCCCCTCCAACTCACAGACACAGAGAGGCTGCAAAACTCTGTGTTCACAGACATTTCCTAACTCCTCTGTGTGGGAAAAGGGGTCAAGAGACCTTGGGAGTTCTCTTGGGAGGGTGGGCAGGCCCTGGCACAGGTGCCCAGAGCAGCTGTGGGTGCCCCTGGATCCCTGGCAGTGCCCAAGGCCAGGCTGGACAGGGCTTGGGGCACCCTGGGACAGTGCAAAGTGCCCCTGTACCTGGCAGGGGTGGCACTGCATGAGCTTTAAGGTCCCTCCCAACCCAAATTCTCTAATTCCATGACTTCTTCTCACCAGAACCAGACTGGTTTAATAAAGAGAAAATATTTGTTTAATAAATAGAGTATTCCTGAGGATAACTGAGCTGCCTTGCTCCCACAGCAGCTCCTGGTGGTGCATCTCCTGGAGGAGCACATCAGCAAGACACAGATCCCCAAATTTCACAGCCCTGCTCTGAGTCAGAACCTGCCCTCAGCACTCTGGACACAAGAATTAATTGACGCAAACAACCATTAAATTAATCAGTGTGAACACAGTAAAGAAGGGTCAGTTACTCTCATCACTGCCCAAATTCAGCTGATTTCATGTGAATGATGCCCTGCCAGTCTCAGAGTCACTTCTGAGCTGGGCACAAACGTCTGTCCCACAAAAACTCATCCAACATTGGTCACCCATGACACGGATTCCACATGCAGCCAGCTCTGAACAGCCACATCACAGCTCCTGTCACCCACACAGATCAATCTGCAGCTCCCCCAGAGGCACAGCTGAGCCGCAGTTGAGATGGTGACTGTCTCAGCTGCCTCAATTACACTTGTATCAAAGAAAGCAATGAAATTAAACACTGAAGAACCTCAGTTTTGCTTCCAATAAAATCAGTGACCATGCTCCTCATTCCCTCCCCTTCATCCCCAGCAGAGTTTGCCAACCATCTCCTCATGACACCATTCCTTCAAACACCTCAGCACCCATAAATGCTTCCTGCCACATCACCTTAGACAAATAAAAATTAAGATGAAAGCAAGTTAATTAGTCTCCTTTTTTGCCATGATTCTGTGTCCCAGTGCTTCGTAACCATCAACTTCAGACTGAATTCCATGCAAGTGATGAAATACACACTGAAACCCTTACTGTTACCCCTCAATTAAATTCTTCTTATTGCCCTGATGGTTAAAATTGGCACATTAGCACAACTTGAACTATTTTTAGTTTCCTAACTTGCTCTCTTAACTCCATCCTTAAAGACTGAGGTGATAGAAGCGATCATATCACCTCTCTTAAACCTCACAGGAAAATATATAAGAAAACAAAACAACCATACAATCCCCATCCAAGACTCCCTCTTTTTTTTTCTTCTGTTTAAACCCATACCCAAACCTGTAATTTCCCAAGAAAAAAAAAAAAAAAAAAAAAAGGCACTTTAGCAACTCCTTCCTTGCAGACTCACTTTCTGGGTCATATAATAAGGGTCAAAGTCCTCCAGTGGCACAGCAACCAGCCCTTTAGGGATGTCCCCGTAGATGAAAGGCAAATTCTTGCCCGCCTCGAGGTCACTGTTTGGTTTTGGTTTGCTGTCCTCATCGTCGTCCCGGTGGCTGCTGTCCTGCTTGGAGCGCTGCTTCTTCTTCAGCTCCGCGATGTGTTTCTCGATGTTGGCCAGCGACTCCGGAGTGAAGGGTTTAAAACTCTCGGGGCCTGGTGGTGCGAGCAGCCGCGCTGCCATCTTTTCATCCTGCAGCAGCTTCTTTAGAGATGTTGCACCCCGGGCAGGTCAGCTCTGCGGGGAGGAAAACACGGGCACGAGGTCAGGACAGCATGGGGAGAGCCACGGGGAGCCCTGCTCTTCACCTCCCCACGAGGTGATGCCTTGAGGGGCTCCTGGGACAGAGCCACACAGAGTTAAAGAATAAAGCAGGCATTTATTAAAAGGATGTCCTCAATGGATGCACCTTGGGCAGCACAAGAACCTGGCCGTGGCTCTTGTTGTCCACCCAAGATGGCTCTTGGATCACTGTCCACCCAAGATGGACAATGGTCACGACTTTTTCATACAATTATAAATTTTTATTTACACTTTTCAGGCTCTGAGGCTGTAGGTGATGCCTTGAGGGGCTCCTGGGACAGAGCCACACAGAGTTAAAGAATAAAGCAGGCATTTATTAAAAGGATGTCCTCAATGGATGCACCTTGGGTAGCAGCTGTCCACCCAAAATGGCTCACTGACTCAAGGATCACTGTCCACCCAAGATGGACAATGGTCACGACTTTTTCATACAATTATAAATTTTTATTTACACTTTTCAGGCCCTCAGGCTATAGGCAGTGCCTTGAGAGGCTCCTGGGACAGAGCCACACAGAGTTAAAGAATAAAGCAGGCATTTATTAAAAGGATGTCCTCAATGGATGCACCTTGGGCAGCACAAGAACCTGGCCGTGACTCTTGTTGTCCACCCAAGATGGACAATGGTCACAACTTTTTCATACAATTATAAATTTTTATTTATGTTTTTCGGACCCTGAGGCTATAGGCAGTGCCTTGAGAGGCTCCTAGAACGGAGCAAGACAGAGTTAAAGAATAAAGTAGGCATTTATCAAAAGGATATCCTCAATGGATGCACCTTGGGCAGCACAAGAGCCATGGCTCTTGCTGTCCCACCCAAGATGGCTCACTGGCTCTTGGCTCACTGTCCACCCAAGATGGACAATGGTCACGACTTTTTCATACAATTATAAATTTTTATTTATGTTTTTCGGACCCTGAGGCTATAGGCAGTGCCTTGAGAGGCTCCTAGAACAGAGCTAGACAGAATTAAAAAACAAAGTAGGGTTTTTTTAAAAGGATAGCCTCAATGAATGCACCTTGGGCAGCACAAGAGCCTGGCTCCACCCAAGATGGACACCCAGTCAGCAGTTTTCACACTTTTATAAGTTTTGGTCCATGTCTACATCGGATTAACTGTCCAATCCCAGCTCCAGGTTACGAAGTCCCATCCTCCCAGATTGCTCTCCTCCATTCCCCGCTGTTCACACTTTTTGGGCCTGAAGCTGCAGCTCTGTCCTTGGTTCTGGGGCTGGAAAAGGATTGTTTTGTGTGACTGAGCTGTAAGGAGAACTTACTAAAACACTTTATCTGAAGTTCAGAGTTATACACCAATGCAGTACAGAACGTGGAAAATATGAAAGCTAAAACTGAAGGCATCAGAGGGAGGAGCAGACTGCTGGTTTCAGCCCCAAAATGAGCTCCAGGCGTGTGCACACCAAGGCTGGGCACAGCTGAACCCCTCTGTCACTGCCCAAGGTGCCACCTCAATGAGTTCCACAAGCAAGAAGCAGCTTGTAGGATCTCCCCAGCCCCACTGGTGGCTACCCCAGCTTGGGCCCTCCTGAACACAAACTACTCTAGAAAAAACCATTCTGAAAAGCAACTTCATCCTCAAAGCCACTATTTTCCTGCAAAAATAATTTGACCAGTCACTGCTCTCAGGAAAACCGATTTTTAGACAAAATTCCAAGCCAGATCAAGTTGGTCCAGGGTACCAGCACATTCCTCACTCTGCTAACAAGGTGTTTAGCAAAGCACTCCCTGGTACACACAGGAGGAACCTGGGGCTGGGTTTACAGCAGCACCAATGTGAGCACTCCCAAAAAACACCTTGATGCCCTATCAGGTGCTCCTGCAGTTATGAGAAGTTCCCTAATGACTTCACCAAGTCCAAGGAGAATTCTGAGTGCTCTTTAGGTAGGGCCAAGCCCTCAGCAGGCTTACCTGCCTCACCTGCTCATGAGCACATCACAGCTCTGCATCAGGAAGTCAAATGTCACCCTTTCATTTTACAGAATTTTATAAAGAAACACCTCCCTGGGAGGGTGCTGAGGCACAGGTCATCCAGAGAAGCTGGGGCTGCCCCTGGATCCCTGGAAGTGTCCCAGGCCAGGCTGGACAGGGCTTGGGGCAACCTGGGCTAGTTGTAGGTGGCCCTGCCATGTCAGGTTTGCGGCTGGATCTGCTTTAAGCTCCCTCCCAACCCAAACCATTCCATAATTCCATCAATTATGAGGGTTTCTATTAATCTGAGGCCACAAAAAATGAAATAATTTAAAAAATACTTCCATCAAGCACAACAGTGATTCCTGAAAGTTCAATTCCTCTGATTGTTTGGGTTAGACACAGGGTCTTGTTGGCAACAGACACACCACAAACGACAAAAGCAAAGGCAGGGCTGCAGGGCACAGGCGAGGACAAGCTGCCAGAGCCTCCAGCCTGCCTTGGCAGGGTTTGCCCCATCCCTCCACGGAGCCCCTTGCTCTCCTCCACCCACTGCCACGAGCAGCAGAGCTCGAGGAAGTTGGTTCCCCCGAATGCAGCCGCCCACCAGCGCTCTGCAGCTCTGCTCCTCCTGGCAGGCCCAGAACCAGCAGCAGGAAGAGCAGCAATACCTTGCATTTCTGAGCTGCTGCTACTTCATCGGGCTGTTCTCACTCCAGAAGAGGCCAAGGGAGGAGAGGAATGACAGAAAGCCTGCACTGATGCAACAGCACTGCAGTGCTGCAGGCTGGAAGAGAACCCAGCCCCGACACGGTGCTTGGGGAGGGACACAAACACCAAATCCAAGAGGAAAGGCACAAAAGCCGTGAGGATGTGGCACAAAAAACCATGAGGATATGGCACAAAAAACCATGAGGATATGGCACAAAAACCATGAGGATATGGCACAAAAACCGTGAGGATATGGCACAAAACCCACGAGGATATGGCACAAAAATCGTGAGGATATGGCACAGAATGAATCCCAGAGCTGCCTGGAATAAGGTCCCTCAAGCAAGGAAAAAGATAACCAGTAAGGTCAGATCTTTTAAGGCAACACAAACACAGCATCCAAATAAACATTAAAGATCTGGAGAAAAGAATGACTTTGAGATTCCTTGCAAACTATGACACGAATTGTTAAAATTCGGCTATTTCAGCACCCCCAGCCTGCCCAGGCCACGAGGACTGTGCTCAATTCACATGGGAGGAGTTCAGGGAAGCCAAAACAGAGAACCACAACTCTCTGGAGTGCAGTGGGCTTCAGGAATAAATAAAACCCAATAAACAACTGAGTCCTTGGGAAGAATACCTGGAGATCCCAGCATTTCAAAGCTGGAACACTCAGTGCAAACCACTCTGAGGGACCTCAGGTTATCCCTTGCAACTGCTGTGACAACCTTTTGCCACACATCAATCTGAAGCTGCACCACACACGTAGGGCTCAAATGCTGTTTCCAGCTCAGGTTTTATTTGGAGATCCAAAAAAACCTGGAGTACAGATCTCCCTCCTTATGTAATTCCAGAGAGCAGCGGGGCCAGGATTCTCTTCCTATAAACCTGACTGGGTATTTCTAGAGCAATAACAGTAAAGACTCAAAAAAGATGGCAAGAAGGGGAGAGAAGAGCCAGTATGTTGGTCACATTATCTCTGAGACATCACCAAATGGCCTGCTGATATTAAGGAAAATTAATTTATTCTATTCTTGCAGCATTTGCATGCATTTAATTACCAAATTTCCCACATACTGTGAAACTATAGAGCAGCATTGGGGATGTGGTCTAATTGAATGGCACAGATAAATATGTAAGGCCTGAATTTAGAAACCAAAGTAGCTCAGGGACACAGCATAAAAAAGGGAAAAAATGAAGGCATGAAGGAATTTGTGCAAAATTACACAACCCACAACTGGAGGCACCAACTCAGCTGACTGCCCATTTAAAGGAAAAAACACAACCAAACCCAACAAGCCAACACCACTCCCCAAATCTGGTTCACAGCTGCACATGGCAGCAGCTTCTCCACGTTTTGGCATTTTGGAATTACTTACAGGGCTGTTTCTTGTGTACTATCAACACATAACAGAGACCTGAGGGTCTCTCTCCTGGGAGCCAGGAATTCATCCTGGCAGCTTGGATTTGGGTGCACACAACACACACATTGCTCAGATGCCAAAGATTTTCCACCAGAAACTGCTGCACTGAGGTGCCCAGTTGCTAAGACTTAATTATTTTTTCTAAATGTTCCCAGCAGTCCATTTACTGGTACATTATGAAATATTCCAATAAATTATTCAAGCTGATCATCAAAATAAATTAAAAAACACTTTTGAGGCAATTTCCTTGCCTTAATACACTTCTTCCTTTATTAATTACCACGAGTCAGCCATTCACAGAGTGTCTTTGAGACAGAGAGACCTTCTGGGTGAATTTTTATATAACGCACACGGACACATGTGCCTCTTGATTCCAAGCTGAGGATGGAGGCAGGAAGGAAAACACAGTGTAGATGAACAGCACCCTGAAATCCTGCTGCAGGAGAGCCTAAAAAGCTCCAAGCAAACCCAAAGTATCCACCCATGGGGAAAGCCACAGCTGGAAGTGGCCTTCAGCCTCCAATCCCCCCCCTGCAGTGAGTTCTGTGTCTGGAATTTAATCTATTTAATCTATGGAAAGGGTCAGCGTTTAATTACCAAATTTCTGTGACCAGCAGCAGTGGAGGAGGGACCTTCCCTTTAGGAAAGCTCTCATGGCATGTTTGATGCTACAAAGTGGAAGAGAAAGGAAATATTTCCACTCCCAAGCAGCATTTATTGCTTGGTGTTTCCCCACCCTGTGCAAAACCTTGTGGAAGTTCCCAGTGCTTGGCTCAACAAGAGAGGTCAAGGGACAGGGCAGGGAAATGCTCATGGTCTTCAAATGGCCGTGGAAGGCCTGAACTTGGACACACACACCTCTAAAGGTAAAATAAA